ACTTTAGTTTTAAATTCCCTCTTTTAGTGTTGAGAATCCTATTCCTTACTTCTTCTCAAAGCGAAATCGGTCAAAAGACCAATACCTCTTGAAGTTTGTTATTGTCCCGCTCTAGAACGGTTACATAATTAGATGTTTTATCAAGAACATCTTCCTTCTCGCGAGCCTCCGTTTGTAAAGCACTGTGAGCAGTAGACAGGACAGTCAGAGCCTTATCCAAATCATTCACCCTGTAAGGGGGAAGAAAATTCAGAAACGGCTATTGCTAAGTAGATTTTTACATTTTTTTAAATAGTTTTTCTGCAAATTACTTTTCTTATAACTAATTGTTAATAGTGTAGTTTTCGTCTTTGATTCCAAAGTGACTGTAAATAGGTGCTTATTTTTGTATTTCTTGTAATGTTTGTAATGCGCATTTGATTATTTTTATAGAAAATACGCTGTATAAATATTCAATATTATTACACAAGTCAATTACTTTAATAAGTCTGGTACTTCAGAGGCTATTGTTAAGTACAGCAAGTCAATTACTTTAATAAGTCTGGTACTTCAGTTACAACGCTCTGAAAACTAAGGACAATGTACATTTCGGCGTAGAAAAAGAGACGAGATGTTGAGAAAACGACAGGTAAATATGGTCCACGACGTTTCTGTAAAAATGGACAGCAGTGAGAAGTATTATCCTGCAGTATATTCATCATTATTAGCGAAATAATTCAAAACCAGTTTATTATATCCGTAATTATATTATCACAACCGCAAACGTACTTAAATCAAATAACAGTTCATCAAACGTTATTGTATGAATGTACCAGTTCATTATACTACAACCGCAAATGTACTTGTGGAGACCTACCTCATAAGGAACTTTTCTCGATTTTTCAAACTTTCCGATTTGAAAAACTCAAAAGCTTTCTTTTCCACTGTTAAATGATGCATTTCTCGCTGCAGTCCCTAAGAAATACAATATTTATCAAGATCAGAGTTTTCTGGATTTCGGATGTTGGAGCTATATTATTGGTGGGGAAAGTAAATAAATCAATGGAAACGCGAGAAACATGAATAAATAAAACAAAAATAAATTAGTCCAATGGAGGGTGTAAATTCGATGAATCCGTGGGGATTTATACCAGTACCGATTTGAAACTAAAGTTTTTCTATACATTTTGCGACTTTCTTTGTTGCCTTGGTGAAGAGAGATACCGAAGAATGCTAACGTTTGGCGGAAATGACTGGCAAGATTGAAATGGCAAGCTACTGGTTTCGATACGCCTTTCTTTGTTGTTTTTTGCAACATCTTGAAGAAGTTCGCGGAGATGGCCGCCTGGTTTTCGGCCTGTTTCTCCCGTGCATAACTTATTTACATAGCGTACAGTGATGCAATACATCATTAGATGGTGGATATGCATGAAACGGTTACTGCTTTGAAGCCCGTATTGTATACGGAATTTAACCTAACTTTGAAGTTTAAGGATTGCAAACCTGAAAAGATATGGAAAATATAATGGGAGAGTTAACAACGCATTTAACAGTTTAAAACTTGATTACACGGCCTCGCCTCATGTTCTGCACTCAAGCTTTCCAGTTGACCTCGTAATAAGCATAATTCTCTCTCACTTTCTATAAGCCTCTCTGCTTGGCCCTGTTTTAATAATAAAACAATCATCATTTAATACATATTAGTATCTTAGGTACAGTAGATAGCTTTTAGTAGATTCTTTCAAATCTATATTATTGGGGATACTTAATGGTGACACAAGCCATAAAGGGGATGCCTTTTACAAAGTAAGAAGGTAAATTCCCTTTAGTGAAACCGTGAACTCCTCACAGACCAGTGAGTTTGGTGAACAGGAAGTGAAAAGAAGTTAGACTGCAAAGTAGTCCCTTTTGGGTCGGTCGAGTCCGGATTGGCACTGCAGGAGGGAGGACTGGACCTGACAGGAGGCTCTTACAACTGATTTATTAGTCTTTCGATGCATGGAATGTTTATCAATCACCTCATGAACAAGTACGGTTTTGCAGTCAAAAAGCAGTTTTGTTTAAAATGGAAAAAAAGGCCAGATTAGACCAGGCTGAGCTACCAATCTGAACAATGCATGTGCAAAAGTAGATCGTTTGAGTTGAATTACCATCTTAGATTGGTTTAGACCTTGATAGAATGGAAAATTGAATTTTTGATCACAAAATACGGATTTAGATTGGCCAAATGGACAGCAACCACATATAAGGGGTGGGGTTGAGTTTTGTTTAATGGAGAGCATAGTGGGTTACTTTATACCGAGGGTACAAATAGAGAGGTATACCAATGTAATGCACATCTAATAACATGCAGCCTTGGAAGTAAAGAATTTAACCAATCAATATGTTTTTGACAACCATCAATCATCTTAATGAGCCCCACATATACTGATGAATTGGTTCAAAAGGTTGCAGCTTTGGACTGTAAATGGTAGATTTCAAAGCATTCAATTCTTGTTTCTTTTTTTTGTTGTTCAGAGCTTGGCATCTCTGAAATATGTCTTGATTACCTGCATAGTCATATGGACCTCTCTGAGTTTTTCTAACAAAATTCCTTTGGTTGTACTTTCATCAAATGAGGCCTTCAAATGTTTATCATGGAAAGTTGAAGAATTAAATGAGCTGAAACCAAAATCCAGAAAACATAGTGAATTATCTGATCTATCTTCAACCAAAGCAGAATATCCCGTCATTCCACTACTTGATACCACATCACTTTCTACAGCGCTAGCTGTCTTAACACCTTGAAGATACACTTTAGATGACCATTCACTGTCTGTTAGGTTAATGTCACCAGTCTTTTGGTTTCCTGGTCGTTGTCCTCTTCTTGAATACGAGGCCATGTCACTTGAATTTGGTAACAAACTCACTGATGAGCCAATAGGAGCCTTTTTTAGCATTCTTTTTTCTACCTTTCTGCTGTACGCAGAAAAAAATCTTGTTAACTTGTCTAAAAGAAAACAATGGGCATAAGATAAGAATAAAAATAAAAATAATTATAATTATTAATGATAATCATTAATATTTTCAATAATACTTTAAAAAATACACAATAAAATAATTTCAACAGTAATTCTCATATTAAAAAAAATAATGATGATGATAATACTAATAACAATTTGACATTATTTAACAATATTTTTGACTTATTTGTTGCATTTTCTCATTGGTGCAGTTGAGAAATATGTACAATAATAATAAGAAAAACAAGTAATTTAAAATTAGTGATAAAGAAGAAAAGTCCATGAGAATGATCAAACTATTAATATTTTGAACTTTCTGCCCCTTAAGTCGGTTCGGAGCACCCCATTTCCTTGAGAATGTTGGAACTCTTTGTAATGTGTTTAAAGATCGCCCTCACACATCTTTCAATATCACTTTTCTCAGGGTGCGCTACAAAAAAACGGGGCTCACTTGGGATAAAAATCTGATACCTGTAATAACTCATAATTCCCGGCCTGTTATAACAATATAGCGGCCTGTTTCAGTGCAAAACCCTTGGATGGATGCATTGATCAATGCATAATCCCCCCTCCTCCTCTTTCCCTTTTCTCTCTTCACCCATTTAAGTAGCCTTCAGATAAAATAGAGACAATAGTGTGTTTCATTTAAGTGTAATAATTAATGATATATATTAACAAATTATATTAAAGGTTTTGTGATATCCAGAATAATCAAGGCTGAGACCTTGTTTTATGCAACGGTTTTGAAGAAAATAATTATATTGAACACACAGTTGCAATTGGAATACAGATTGACAAATTGCTCTTGGAAATCATGCATAGTCCATGCAACTTACGGATTAGCAAACAACCATGTAATCTGTAGGTTGCACTGATTTCCATAATTAACTGTTGGCTCTTTAACAATGAGAGAAGACAGAAAGTGCATGAGTACAAATTGTGTGTAAAAGGGTTGTGTAAAATTTGAGGTAGCCTGACAATTGCCTCAACTGCGGGCCAGTATTGAATACTCTGTCATTTAGTTGTAAATTCAAATATTAAACTTGGAAAGTTGAAGTTCAGGCAGATTTTCAAGCTCTCAGACGTTGGCAGCCCTACAAATAATTATTGTGGACTTGGTACCTCCTCTGCTCCATGGTTTTTTTTTCGTATAATTATTTTTGGCTTTTAGCCATCCTTCGCTAAGGCAATCGCCATTGATTCCTGCAAGTCTACAAGTAGGTGATTTTACCAGGAGAATTTAACTTACTTCCACGTTATTATGACTGTTTCTTTCATTTACTTATCTAACGAATCTTTGTTTACAAACACTTACAAACGGCGTCTTTTAAAATGACAAATATGAAGTGTACACTTGTGTAGATGAGAATCTGCTTTCCGGGACACTGCTTCTCCCTAAAAATAGCCCATCGGAGTTCATTTATAGGTCTTCATCCTAGATTCGTTTCAAGAGCTCGAGGTCGATTGTTTTCGAATTTTCTCGTGTCGATCAATGCGATCATGCTCTCCGCAGTCTCCGGTGATCATGCTGAACAGCTGCGCTGAACGACTGTGGATTGAACGTTTCTAGTTTTGTCTATTGAACATTACTACTTGCAGCATCGAAATTAAGTGCAAAGACAACGGTTTATCCACTGCACGGGATTAATTATTCTTCGTGTTTTTGGACCTGTCCCCCAGACGCTTGACCGATATTGCGACATTAGCATTACAGGCAGCCCACCGTTTTGTAAAGGTGGAGACCCGGGTGGAGACTTTTTTCATGAGCAAAAAATAAATGATTAAATTGAAAAAAAAAATGATAATAAAAAACATCTCCAGATATCTAGCATCGTGACGTTTTGTTTAACCTTATGGCTATAAATAAATGCACTATTTTCCTTTTGTACAACGGTACATTCTAACAAGTATAGGTGAGCTGTGCAACTTCATGATCACTCCGACAGTGAAATCCCCTCCCCACTAGTGCTGGTGCGCACAATGACTTTCTCACGTTCCAAGTTATCAAACGAGCAGTTTGAAAGGACGGCAAATATGCGCGTTATTTTCCACAATTCATTCCAGTTTTAATGCAGTGTATTTTATGAACAAGAAGTTAACGTTTCTCTTCATTGAAGGATCGTTGTTTTCAAAATGATCTTTTTATCAGCTGTTTTATCCTTGCCACCCAACGAAAAATCACCGCTGCAAACAAAATCAACTCTTGGCCGAAAGACATCACCTTAAGCTGTAGACGGTTTGCTCGTTTAGTTCGATCGCCATGCCCTCATCGTTACGCATAGGCGAAGAACAGATCAACCATCTGGCTTCAATGGCAAGGCACGAACACTCCAAAAGCGGTCGTGTTTTTCTTAAAAACCACGAAAACACTGGGAAATGGCTACCGCGCTGGTGTGCACTGTACCAAAATTTTTTGTTCTACTTTGAGAGTGAGGATTCCGTAAAGCCTTTGGGAGCCATTTACCTGGAACATTCTAGTTGCGAGAGACTATGCCTGACTAACTTAAAGGATAGTGAAAATCAGGTTTGACCGTATTCACTTTGTTCAATATATATTTTCCCAGTCTTATATTGAATTTTACTTATTATTCTTTTGTTTTCTACTCAGGAAAGGTCTTCCTTTTATCTTTCCAGCCGAGGTATTTTTTCTTGTAGATCGATCGGCGCAGAGTTTTTTTCCCAATATTTAATCTCAAATGAAAAGAGCAAAGAATAACATAGTCTTTTATTGGGAAGGTGCATAATAAATTCGGTTTCGCTCCACCTTGCAGGCCTGGAGTTTGTTATTACTTCTTAAGCTTATTCATTTTTAATCATTGATTCTCAAGACACTGACATGCTCCTTGCTGCAGAAAGTTTTGTTTTGCAAGCTAAACCTTCTTGGTTATTGATGTAAAGCTTAAGTGATTTTATAATGTTAAAGGAAATGTGAAATTCAAGTGCTGTGTGGGCGATATGGTGTGCATTTTTAGCTCGTTGGCTAAATTTGTCAACAATATGCAAAATTAAGCATGTTCGGAATCAATTAATAACAGTCCCTGCTGTTCTTCAATATGTATTTGATTTTTATGAAACATCACCTTTCTAGCTTGCCTGTGTTTAGCATATTTTTTTTATGTACAAGACACCTTCAGTTTTTCTTCAAATTTATAATGTTGAGTTCGATGTTATTGCTCTGAAACGAGGCCAAGAGAAAATGTATGACGAGCTGTTATTTTTTTTGTTCATACACTTCCTCAAAGAAATAAGTCGTAAAATACGGCGATTTTTATGGTTTAGATGTAGAGCGGTTCTTTCATTGTTTCGTCATTGGCCAATTCAAAATTTTACATCAGAAAATATAATATAATGATATTATTATTTAATACTTTGCCTAAAAAAAGTACAGGGCTGGATACTCTGCATGAACTTCACTTTAACCCCAATTCCATCAATTTCGAGTGTATAAGAAAATGAAAATAAAAAAAAACATCCCACCCAAATTATTACATTAAACCATTCAGCCAATAATGTTGGGAATAAAATCAGTTGGAAGAGAAATTTCCAAATATTTCAGAATTTGTGAATACCAGTTTAAATTGCATTTTCTTTTTTGGAAATTGTTGAAAATCTATCAATAGCAATTAGAGTGATTTTACTTGAATCATGAAACAGATACTAACAAATAGTGCCTTTAAATAGCAAAGAGGTAAACAAAAGAATACAATGGAATTAGTGCATAATATAGACTTGCTCGAAGTCGACCTCTTGGTGAGCGGAGCAAGCCTTTTTGGCCGCGAAGCGGCCAACTACGTGCGACGAAGTTGTGAGAGGTTAACTTGTCTTGCTTGATGGGTTTCCATTTGCATTTTGCACCAAAAATGGGGATTGGTGTGACTCGCATTTGGGGTTTCAGGTTTCCTTCGCGGGTCCTTGACTTCAATGGCGGAATATGCTGATTCGACTCTGACTAAATCTATTGAACGTGTGTGTTTATCTCTATCATCGAAAGGAGCAAATTTGTTTACCTTGTGTGAAAGTTGTCTCTAACAATGATTTTAGGTGAAAGTTGATGACCTCAGGGGGCCGCAAAAGAACAAAAACTTGTTTCGATCTCAAGTCAATACTGGGAAAGGAGATTTCACAACCAAGGAATCCTTGACATCCGCACACATTTTAAACCTACAGAGACTTTTCAATACACCCATTTCTCTTCCTGTAACCCTCACGGGGTCAGAACTAACTCCTCAGCTAAATTCTTCTATGAAAACATCGACAACTTCAAAAAACGCCTTCGCGCTAGAGGTTACCCTCACAATCTCATAGGAAAAATCACTTCTGAGGTTAAATTTACCGAACAGAAGTCAGCTTTACAAAAGAACAATGAAGTGCGAAAGAAAATTCTGCCTTTCGTTACCACGTACCACCCTTCTTTGCAGAACCTTAAAAACATTTTAATGAGCAAATGGCACTTATTTCAAGATCAACCTTTACTAAGAGAAATATACAACAAGCCTCCCATCATTTCATATAAAAGAGGAAAATCGCTGGGAGATATCACGTTTCAGTGCGCTTAGTACATGTGAGTGACAGCTTTATCCCTAAGGGTCCTTGGGAGCTATTCTGATTGGTCCAAGCGCACCAACCTGTTTTTGGGTCGGTGAAATTGGCGCCAATCAAGTATGAAAAGTCCTTCGTCCCGTGCCATATGAGATCCAACGAAGAACTTGTTTTGAAATTCTATGCATAATAGTGCACGTAGTAATAATAATAATAATAATAACGAATATTTATACAGGATAGCCCTTCAGTGCAAGAGCACTGTTATCAAAGGGGTCCTGTATAGGTAGTATTCTACTACCTATTTCATGGGTCAAGTAAATTCACTCTATTCCACTTGCAACAAGATGATTATGGCCAACTCAGCACTATGTGTCACATTAGCTATTTGTAGCATCTCATATCCGATGTGTGGTCCTGGAATATGTAGCAATTATTGATTTCGGCTTTCGTGTCATCTGAAGACTATATATGGAGATGGAGGAGGGTGTGACCTTGACGGATAACACCCTTTAAGATCTCCATAATTCTTGAGATGATACGAAAGCCGAATTTAATAATTGAGTTATTTTTCGTTCAAAGTAATTCCTAGTTTTTAATAAAAGATAAAACATGTTTACGTCCATCGATGTTAAGTTCATCTTCTATAGTGCATGTTTATCGGTAAGTTTAGGAGATAAAGGGGTTTCCAGTTCTGCAAATATTCCTCCAAATAGCAGATGTTGTTCGTCGAGTTGTCTTCTTGCTGTTCTTCCTACATTTTTAGCTAACAGTTTGCCTATTGTTCTGCCATTTTGTATTCACTACCAAATCAACTCAACCCCTTCCCCAGGTCTTCTCGGGTTAACCGTTCAATAATCTGGCTAGTATGCGGCATGAGTGACATCATCAGTGGACATATCGCAAAATTCTTCCAAATTTGGTTGACAGTAGCTGGTTATGGTGAATTATGCGTGGGATTTTAGCCAATCAGAAATGGAGAAATATTTTGAATGAATAATAATGTTAAATAGACCATAGAAGTGACATCAAAATTAAAGTTGTCAAAAGTCAAGACAGGAACCATGCAAAATACTATATTAGTAATACTACATTGCTTCAAAATTGAGTGGATCCAGGCATTCCCTTTAAAGGACTACTCAGTCACACTGCTTTTTTTTTGTCAATCTCAGAACTGCTTTTCTATTGATGTGCCAACTGTGGATGGACATCAACAACTTATTCTAAGAACAAACAGTGAAGTTGACTGTAAAACATGGATTGAAGCTATCACAAAATGCAGGTACTGATGTCTATCACTGTTAAAGCAATCTTAATCATTGTACGGGATTGTTGAAACAACATTTTTTGTGAACTGAGGACTGAAGTCCCAGCATAAGTGAGATTTAAACTTTTGGTTGGAGTTTGCATTGGGCCTGGCTCCAACCAAAGGGATCCAAGGCCAAGGCGCATTTGAATATATTCATATAGATATTTGCGCCGAATAAGTAATAAATTATTATTATCCATTCCCAAGCAGATCGCCAAGTGAAGAATGATCTGGCTTCGCCTGTAATTATTTCTATAAGTTTGTTTGGTGTCTGTAGCTACCAAGCGTTAAAGCTGCAATTGAACAAAATTGCAAAAAAACCTTGGCCCAGTTGGTTGGAAGCCGCAGAGATTAATACCCATGACATCAATATTTTGAACACCGTAAAATTAGAGAACGTTTTTTGATTTGCATGACCTGATATAAACATGAGAGGGTGTTGGGAGAATTCAAGACAGGTACGGAAAACTGAGACTGAGACAAAGTCGAGAATTTGCATAACCTTCTCCCAATCACTCAAGTGTTTATATCAGGCTAAGTAAATGCTGCAATATTAGTTAAATAGCATAAGGATTCAACTAGATGTGCACTAAAATGACCTCTTTTTATCAGTAATACAGGGTAAAATTTTGTCAGTAACTCTAAGGCGTGTATGCAAAGTGAGTGTTATAAGCAAAAGCACATGACTATGACTGACTTTGTATAGTTTATGATTTTCCTGACAAGAAAGCAATATACTTTGCTGCAGGAGGTTGTGATTAAAAGAGAATATTACTACCAGTTGCAAAGTGTTGTACATAAAGTTTTGTAAGCATAATCAGTGTTTGTTTTGCAGAAAGATGTGATTTTGGAATTTTTATGTTTGAAATATTACCTTAAGTGAAAAAACTCGGTTGGTCAGGCATTATTGTGTTTTTAAGTTTCAAAAGTTGAGGAAATGAGTAAGGTAGTTTAATTATTAAACTTGTCAACTTTTAAGCTCACTATAGAAATTTTAATTTCAAAATCATTATTGTTTCATCTTTTGTTTAGCGTGCAGCACACCCTGCACCAAGGGTGGATTAAATAGGGCCCCCCTTTTGTCCTGGAATTTTTTCTTTTGTAAATTATGTGTGTCGGACGGTACTTCAGCTTTGTTACTTAAATATATTTTCTATAATAGACATTGTTAATAAGAACAGAATCTGTGTTTGAAGCCTATATTTTTAGTCGTAAATGACCAAAGCTCCCAGAATGTAAGCATATTGCCACTGTATACTATATCTCTAGGCCCCCTCTATCACAAAATCCTCCGTCTGCCTTCTGTGCACAAATTCCTCACTTCACAACTGTGTTTACTCAGTCTCATGCAAACACATCTCTTGGCCAATCAAAGCAAGTTTTAAATAGGTCATAAGTAGGGTTTCAACCACAAATGATCTGGCTGGTTCTTGTTTTCTGCAAGTTTGTGAGATAGCCATGGATCAAGTGCTTTCACGTCCATAGGGGAACATGTAATGTCACGCCCATTAATTGCTATACAGACATGTAATCTAACTTTATTTTCTTGTTGTTTGTAATGTATATGTTGTAGTTAATTTTTTATTTAGGTAATGTTTTGTTTTTCTTTTATTTCATGGGTATGGTAATGTATGCTAATGAAGTTGAAACAAAAGAAAAAGAAAAATTACTGACCTGAGATAAAAAACTAACTACAACATATACATAATTTATATCAAAATGCCCCTTTAGTAAGTAAAGTGTACAATAATCAGATAGAATTTACTAATAATCATATAGGACTAGTCAAGTTTGTAATAATTATTAAGAAGTAATAAATTATTATTAGTGGTAAAAAAAGTAAACAAAAAACAATGGATGGAATCTCATTTATTGTACAAATTATTAACAAACTAATCTCTGAAAGCTGTGATCTTTTGTTTAGCTTTGCTGAGTTGCAATCAGAGAAAGAGGAACTGGAAAAAAAGTACATCCATTATATACAAATTCTGGAGAGTGAGAAGACTGCTAAATGGCAGTTGCTTCAGCAGTGTGAGGAGCAGGGACAACTAGTATCAAGCCTAAAAACTGAGGCACGTTAAGTAGATGATATCATTCATACCCGGCTAAATGACAGCATAGACAGCATACATTGAGGGACAATTCAATCAGAACTCAAATGTGTTTCAACTGTTTGACCTGTCAGAACTAATTGACACCGGAACCCTGATTTGATTAACAAACAATTTATGCCTCATGGTCGGTCACTACTGTCAGTTGTGACTGTTTACTATTGGATTTACTCCTGGCAAGACCAAGTCACTGTAAACAACAACAGTCCTATTCAAGACTACGTTCATCGAGACGATCATACTCAACCTACTCAAGACAAACTTAGTATTTTTTTGGCTGTTTGACCAGTCAAGAAAATGATACTGAATTTTGAACTTTGACAGCAGGAGTATTATTTTATAGATAAAATTATCCAGTTACAGAGTAAAAATAATAGAAGTTTTACCAACATGTTTCTTGCTCACAGCTTGCAAGTCTCCGAAAAGAGAATGCGGCACAGACAAGGGAAGAGGAGAGTGAAGAAATAAAGAACATCAAAAAGGTACTTAAAATGAATGTTGGCCGTGCGTCTGGTGGAGCTGTTGTGGGTCACATTTAAAATTTTACTTTTCCTCTGCTTTGTTGGAAAAATCATACCATAATATATTTATAGGTCAGACTTTGAAAAGATATTCTAAAAGAGATATTCTAATAAAGGATCTGATAAATCTGATGAATTTAACAGTAGTCTAAAAACTAAATTGCTAATGTTTCATGATAACCAAATGACTTCTTAACAGGTACAGAGTCTGATTCGTGGTTGGCTTTGTCGTCGTCGCTGGCACAGTATAGTACAAAATTACATTCGTTCTCCTCATGCAGAGAGCATGCGTCAACGCAACTCACTTTGCTTTCAGCTGGTGGAAACTGAGAATGAATATGTGCAAAACCTCTCTACACTTGTGTCATGTTTCTTCAGGCCTTTTAAAATGGCTGCTAGCTCCAAGAGGCCTCCATTAAGTCATGAAGAAGTAAATTGTATTTTTCTTAATAGGTATTGTATTAAACTTAAATTCATTAAAAATAACTAATAACTCAAGTTTCAACGCTAATAAAAAAAAGGCTAAAATGGTTATTGTCGTGAAAGCAGAGTATGTCAATATAGTGCTGTAAAATAAAAAAGTGTTATTGATAACAAAGCGTGAATAAGTTAACAGTAAATAGGACAAAAGGTATCCGTCAACTGAGGAGACAAAACTTATTGTTGAATCACTAAATTTATCACAGTTCTATGTAATCAGCTGTGTAATGCCTTGCCGTACATACTCCTACAAAAAACTCATGAAATTAACGCTTTAAAAAGATCCTAAAAGTTTTGATTATAAAAGGTTCTTAAAATTGATTAACCCATGCCAATACACTTTGAAGAAGAAATTGGCGTTCCCTTGCAACCATGGCGTAAATGTAATTTGTTAGAAGTAAACATATTAAACGATATTCATTGTAACATTTAAGACTATCCTAGTTTTCTTTAGTCATCCTGACATTCATAAAACGTAACCTTTGAGCAAATTTTCACCCTTGGATTTTAAACGGCAACTGTGGCGTCACAGAGCAAGTTTTAAAAAGCAATCTTAGCAATTTACGTTGACCAGTTTATCACCGATACGATTGCAATCTATGTGTGTTTAATCTTATTGCAGTGAAACAATACTTTTTTTGCATCAAATTTTTCTGAAAGGACTTCACACACGTATGGAAAGCTGGCCAACATTGGTTTTAGGTGAGTTTTGTAGTCTAGTCCAAACGGTAGGCTGTTCCTTGTTGTTTGTTGTAAAAGTTTGTACACCATATTCATGTAAGTGCGTCATCTAAAGCTGTGATAAAAGAGGCCATTCGACTGGTTCACCATTGCTAACATAAATTACTATGATGTGCTCCTCAGTCCCACCCGAGTTCATCTGCCTATTGTAAAAGCAGAACAAGTACATTTTATTATATTATTGCCTTTTAAATACGGAGAAGAAAGGGGTGGTACTCTCCTCCTTGACTACTATAGCGATTTAGGCGTCGTCAGATACCTTAAACCTTCTTATTAAACACTTCATCAACTACCTTCGTGTTACACAAGCGAGGGTGGGAAGTAACTTTAAGCTCTTAGCACAGGGCAGAATTGAGCCGTCTCACAGTCAGCAGTATATTCGCCAAATTTAGGTAGCTGTCCCTGGTGCGTAAATAACAGGCTGATTGACGTGCTTATTTTGACTCCCTGAACACAGGAGACTTGTTTGATATGCTGTTGCCAATGCTGAGCATTTATCAGGAGTATGTACGTAACCATCATTACTCTCTGCAGGTCAGTGTACGTTATGACTCAGTTATTTATGATGGTTCAATTGTTAGTTCGGTACTTCGTCTTATCGTTGGTCAACACTGTCATTTTTATTTGATAAACAGGTTACTGTGTTCAATGATAAGGTTCCCAATATTATACCTTAAAGTGTTTGTAACTAATACAAAACATTTAAAGTACTAAAACGTATTCGTCGTGTTTTGATAACAGTTTTTCTATCTTTTAAGAAAATTTACGTCAAGCGTTAGACCACGTTTTGTTGGTTTAATCCTATGAAATATAGCACGAATAGCTTAGCGTGAACGGGATTTTAATGTGTATTGATTGCTTCATGTAGTGGCTGCAATGATTTTTTATTTGTTGTTTTATGTCGGCAGACGTTAGCGGAGTGTAAGCAACGCCCTGCTTTCAACCGACTTCTGAAGTTGTATGAAGAGAAACCAGTTTGCAGTGGGAGGAGGTTGGAGAACTACCTAACAGCTCCAATGCACAGGGTTAGTCCGTCACTGAGGCCGGACAAACACTGCGGTAAAACCATGCACCTCATTCTCCACAGGATGTAAAGCTTAGCCATTTTCAGTTCGTTTCCCACGTACGGAAGGAACAGTTATACCACTGAAGACAAGTCACTTAGTCGTTCGGTTGCGTTATTCGATTCGTGTGATCTTCTTCTTAGTCCGCTGTTCAAGGCGACTCCCTTTGGAAATGCTAGATTAATCATTATTTTTCAAATAGAAGATGACCTCAGTTGTTGCTACAGTAAAAACCCCCGCGTAAGAACCTAAAATTTAAGAACCGGTTAGGCTGAAATTTTCATTTTAAAGCCCCTTTTCATAAGAACCTATTTAGCCTAAAATTTTCAATAGGTTCTTATTTAACAAAAATGAAGGCACAGATGAAAATACAGAAAAAAAATTTTAGTCTAGGTTTCAGTCTGTAAGATTCAGAGAATGAACTAAAATGAAAATTTTTTAAGTTTTAAAATTTTATGGACACTGCAGCATGAAACACATGCATGGTAGTACTTTGGAAAGATTGATTTACTGTATGGCTATCATCATCTAAATTGTATTCTAGATAATTATTTAATACAGCAATATATTCCATATTATACAAATATGCGCTGCAGTAGTTATCTTTGCTGATCACTATTGCCCCTATCAAATTAAGTACATATTTAAGAACCTAAGTGGTCTAAAATCCCATTAAATACCATTTCTATAAGAACCTATTCAGGCTAAGTTGGAAAAATCTAGGTTCTTATACGCGGGTTTTTACTGTATTAGTGTCGAAATAAATAGGAGTGGAATAATCTGGGCATATGTATTGACACCTTCTTTCACCGGTCACAACGGAACAATGATGACTGGTTCTTTTTTAAAAAATTATATACTAATCAATTACCTCAAACCAAATGCAATCTATCTTAAGTGCGCGTAAGTCTGTTGTAGAGGCTAATTTTCATTTCCACGTACCACCATCAACTCGATCATCCCCGGCATTCCCGGCTGGCCCTGTAAACGCGTTGTGATTATGTCTGCGGCACTGATGCCAGTCAGTTTCCGCCATGTGCATACTCAAACGCAGTTGTTAACGCCAACTTGTCATTTCCTATTTACTTCTTATTCGTCGTCAAGATTTCAGGCCTTTTCGCCCCGCGCTGGTCGTAGTGCACGTAGTTATCATTTCAGAAGACAGTTTAATGAGCGGGCCAGGTTATTTTGGTTACAGAAAACTGTCCTGTTTAAGGTAATGCCTTAGCTGCACCAGCTAAAAGTTCTTTAATTCTAGCGAGTTTTTTTGGCAAGCGAAGTCTTTTGAAATTGTATTTGCACCTTTAAACAGTGCTTGGTAACGTCTGCCATCAGTTCTTGCGAATAATTAATAGAGTATAAACTTCTACAATCTCTGATTAAGTCAGATTTAGGGAATAAGTGTGGTCGGGTGTAACACTGATCACTGATTTTCCGCTTTTGTAGGATGTCTTTTCGTCGCTGCTATAAAGTTTTCTTCCTTTTTCTACTGTGTTCAAAGTTGTGCGCATCGTTCGAAAATCAAGCGACTGCTGTCAGCAAGTTGAACAAACATATCAGCAGCAGGTTCTTAGACGTGTATTTCCGCGTTTTGTCAGGTTTTGTTCGTGTTAAATATTCTTTGTTGACTTATTTAAGGATATATGTGTTAATGATGCAGGCGATTATATTGTTTGCCCTTCCTTCAGGCCTTGGTTCTTACTCTGATTTCTATGGAGTGATGGACGGTCATCTGAGTAGTAACCGATCGTGTTTTTACGTTTGATGTATCTTATTTGCCGCCTTACCCGAACTTCTGAGTAACGACAGGTGCTGGGTTTTTTGTTCTGACTCATAAATATTATATTTTTGTACTTTTACCTTTTTAATTTATGCGTAATCAACTTGCACAATCAAGCCAAAGTTATGCCAACGACATTTACAATTTTTTTGCTGTGCCTCAGAGGTTGCTGTTTTCCATATCCAGTTTTCAATTACTGCAGATTGATCGCTTGTATATAACGCGCTAGTTGTTTTCGTGCATTGAGCAATGCCCTTCGTCCTTCTAATGAGCATCCAAATAAGAGCACATTTTTTCTCTCGGTCTATTTTCGCACGGCTATTAGTATTTCAAGCTTTAAAGCTTTTCATTGCACTCGCAAAACTAAAAGCCTGCCTTCAAAAGGATCAAGTCTATTATGATTTTTGGACGATTAATGGAGGTGATGAAGAAAGATTGAGACAGTGTACTGCAGAGTATAGAGAGTCTCAGTCTTTTGGCTTTTTTGTTTTTTTCAATGTTCATGGCGCTCTGTGTGCCTACATTTATTTGTTGTTTAAAATCTATTGCCAAACTAGCACAGAGCTTCAATCATTTGACTTGAATTAAAAACTGTTCAGTTGGCGAGTGTGGAAATTACTGGTTAGACTGTGTTAGTTAAATTTCAAGCGTAAGCCCAGATGGATATTATGTTCGTATATTGTACTTTATTACGTTTTCAATAAGAACTACACTTGGATAATGAGTGCATTTTTAAACCTTGTTAGTTGCTATTACAGACAACGCATGAAATGTGATTTACTTCAGATACGCTGTTTAAAAGCTGACTGCTCTTAGCGACCGCGCGACAGCGTCTTTTAATATTTAGCGATGTCGTTCAGTTGACAAAGAATTATTGCTTCTCTGCAGCGATATTAGTACTTAACACACGTCTCGTAAGTACAGGGTTATTGTGTTGCCGCTTCCGCTTATTCTCTTCATTACCGTATGTAGACTTGTTTTGGTTTCACTCGCCTTTTTCTCTTGAATCGTCTTTAAAGTGCGTCCGTTTCTGGGATAGGTCGTCTATTCAATCCCTCTTACCAACAAACGTTTACATTTAAACTCCTTGCCTAACCATCTATTTTATTATTATTATTTTTTTCGTCTCGGCGTACGCCGAAAATGTACGGCTTTCATCTACGATTTCCACCTTAGGATCGGGCTCCCGTTCAAAGATTAACATGGTCTTTGAGTCGAGCGCTTTTTCACCACATTTTATTTGGTGTTTATTCCTTTCGCCTGATCTTAGTACTGAACAAAAGCGATAAATTCTTTCTAGCTATCGTTATTTGGACGATTAGCATTCACTTAAATGCTTTGACCTGTACTTGTTTAGACTTTGCGTACTTTCCAGACTGATGCGACTAGCCTGATCAGGCTAAATATCCTGACTGTGAGCATAAAAAACCCAGAGGGCTTTGGTGGCTTTGTAAAATTTTACATGTTTCCGTGATCAGATTACACTTAAGTTGAATTTTTGTATTTTCATTCCAGATCCCTGCATATATCATCACCTTGCATGACCTACTCGCTCTTACTCCACATGATCACGTGGAAAGAAACGCGTTGGAATATGCACAGAGTGTTCTCGAGGAACTTTCTACGGTGAGGTTAGCCCGTCTAGGGCCTCAGATGATATCAGCTAATGTGATAAACAGGCTGATTTTCTTGCACTGCATTAAACAAGCAAAGGTTTTCTTCATAAAGAGCGTTTCGTCTAGTTTGCCACACCTCGCTACGCACCCACTTCTCTATTAAAAACACGAGACAGCTCCTGTTGTGGTTGATATATACTTCTCTTGTTAAAGTCCGGACAAGGTCATTATTATGTTTGACCTTTCAGACAAAATTGTATCAAATGCGACCGGCCGAAGGCGTCGTCGTCTGATCAGAGGTAAACTATTCTACCGCCCACTGCAACTACACTGCGCATGTACGTGAAGTTTGCTTTTAACTCATACATGCGATTGTTTAGGAATGCTTTTTAAAGGTAGACACAATGCTACAGACTTTTCAGCAAGTGACTTGTTTTGCCTCTTTCCTCTCGATTTTTAAAATGAATCGTTTTCGCCTATGAATTGTCAATGCAAAGGTACTAGATGCATGAACGAAGCTTTAATATGTGTGGTCCGCTTTATCTCACCCGCTTTTTTGTTGCTGTCTGCAGGTTATGCATGACGAGGTCAGCGAGACTGAGAACATTCGTAAAAATCTGTCTATTGAGAGGCAGATAGCGGAAGGCTGCGAAATATTACTTGATGTCAACCAAATCTTTATCAGACAAGGTTCATTAGTTTGCATTTGTTTTTTAACCATTGCTCAGTAATTGTATATAGGACATGCAGAGTAATTTTTTAATTCAATTATTTCCAAATTGGACAAGCATGTAGTCCTCTTACTTATTAATTATATACTTAGCTGGTTAGTTAATCCAGATTTTTTAACGTGTCACAGACGCGTAATATTGTACACTCGAACCGTTTGTAGTTGAAACAAAATAACACTGCAAAATCTAAAAAAGTGTCAACTTATTCTATACAAGTAAACAAACGCAGAACTAGTATTGCTCTTTCATACTTTGGCATTTTGTAGTCAAGTATAAATTTTAAAAAGCTGCATATGAAAACCGCAATTTCAAGTACAAAGAAAACAAAGCAACAATGCAAATACTTAATTTAAACACGTAAACTATGAAAGTAAACATTTCATTCATTACCTCAAACGATTTCCGCAGACTTTTTGCGGCCTCATGTGAGGGAATCCAAGACAGTCTTGGATTCTGGGTTCCACGCCGTGGATTCTAGATTCCAGGTACTTGATTTCAGTCTTTTTTAGTGGAACTTGGATTCTGGATTCCAATCTTTAGTAGGATTCTGGATTCCTTGAGCTGTATTCTGGATTCCTTGAGCTGTATTCCGGATTCCTTCAGCTGTATTCCTGATTACTTCAGCTGCATTCCGGATTCCTCGAGCTGTATTCCAGATTTCTCGAGCTGTATTCCGGATTCCCTGAGGTGTATTCCGGATTCCTTGAGCTGTATTCCTGATTCCTTCAGCTGTATTCCGGATTCCTTGAGCTGTATTCCGGATTCCTTGAGCTGTATTCCGGATTCCTTCAGCTGTATTGCTGATTCCTTGAGCTGTATTCTGGATTCCTTGAGCTGTATTCCGGATTCCTTGAGCTGTATTCCGGATTCCCTGAGCTGTATTCCGGATTCTTTGAGCAGTATTCCGGATTTCTTGAGCTGTATTCTGGATTCCTTGAGCTTTATTCCGGATTCCTTGAGCTGTATTCCAGATTCCTTGAGCTGTATTCCGGATTCCCTGAGGTGTATTCCGGATTCCTTGAGCTGTATTCCGGATTCCTTCAGCTGTATTCCTGATTCCTTGAGCTGTATTCTGGATTCCTTGAGCTTTATTCCGGATTCCTTGAACTGTATTCCGGATTTCAAAGCCCAGGATTCCGGAATTCGGATTCCCTTGCATGGAGCGAGACTTTGTCCTTTTGTTTGGTAATGATTACTTAATCTAATCAGAACTAACTAGCAGTGTTTTCTTATTCTTGTCCAAAGTTTCAGTGCTCGTACATTTTCAAGAGTGGTTGATTGTTTCCAATTCAAACTTTCATCAGTTTGGTCATACATTTTTCTTTTAAGTGGCCCAGACAAGAAGCCAAAACAAAACAGCAGCAAAACAAAACAACATTTTTAGTCACAGCAACAAGGAGCCAAGAGTGTTCGAGAAGGAACCGCCGTCCGTCAACGAACGCGTTGTCACAAGGACTTTGCGCTGATTGGCTAGTTTGCATTGCCAATTGTATTTTATGGCATTTGATCGACTCAGACCAGCTGTCCTATTTTTCTTAAGTTGGTCAGTTTGCCTATTTGTAAATGAAAGTCGTATCTGAAACTATCCAAATTAATCCTTAATTGGACAGTTCGTAAAAATTAAAGGATGATAGCTTTGCTGACAATATCTGGTTAACTAACAGATATATATCACGTGTACGTTTCTATTATTGATACTGCTGGTTAGTGTTATTTATTGGCCACCAATGGGGTCTTGCCTTAGTCTTAAAATATAAATCACACTAGACGACTTAGGATCAAGGCCACAGGATTTACAAGACTTATCTTGTCTAGCTATGTGGTTGTAGTGTACTGAAACAATAAAACGACACCGCACTGGCCAAAACATACGAGTTCCCCAGGTCAAATTTGCCTCTTGAAAGACGCCACTTCTTTCTAGCAGCCTTGTGATTAATAATGCTTCTGGCTTCACGCCTTTTGTTATANTGCCAGAGAGTGAAAAGATTGAATTTTAATCCTGCAAGCTTCTTGGGAAGCAAAATATAGGTTGCTACTATTGTTATATATCTTTCATAAAGAAATTTGTTTCTTCTGGACATTTTTCCTGATTAACACTTTCTTATTCATCTTTGATGATTTGCCTCTCGTGCCATTACCCTGCTAAGTATTCTTTTTTTTCCACATCGTGCAAACCAAAATCTAGTCAAGTTACGTAAACCTTCTACACGTAGAGTTGGGATTTTATTAACTCTTATTCCACTGTATTTCATTTCTGGTTCTTGTGTAAGATCAGTGTTGCTGAGTTTTATCTTTTTTTGCCATTTTAGGAAATTTGATTCAGGTTATAGAAAGTCGTAAAGGTAAAACATTCGGTGGTTTGTCGCTTAAGTCAGCTGACGGACGAAAGGAAGTTGTGCACCAGTGCTTTCTATTTTCGGGCTATCTTCTACTTACTACGAGATCATCAAGCGGCCGACTACACCTTTCTAAGGTAAAGACTTTTTAATAAGGTATTTGTCTGGTCTTGTATTGAACATGTACCATAGTGCCTCAGTCTTAATCAATGTGCATTATTTATTCTGACTGTAAAGACCTTGTCACTGTCAAATAACGATTTCTTATTCTTTGTCTTTCTCAGAATGGTGCCAAAATTCCCTTGGCTGAGAGCACGTTAATTGAGGATTGCTTTCAAGAGGGTAAATAATTTCCTTTTTAGTTATAAATACGAGGCATCCTTTGGGATCCAGATACACGATTTCTTTGGTTGAAATTGCAACGTGTTAGGTTCGTCCAAGCCCAATAATGAAAGGTGTGGTAAGTCCGGCGAGGCCTTGTGGGGTTCTATATTCAGTAACTGGCGACTGAGCTAAATCAGTTTAAGTAATAAATAGTGCAGCCGATAAAGCCTGTATTAATTGCTAGAAAACGTTAATTATCCATGGATAGGCGTGTCTGTTCTCTGTTTACTTTTCCCTTCAGAGGGGCTAAAATACATTTTCCAACAGGTGCTTTTTTTAGCTCCTCTCAAGGAAAGGTCGGCCCAATAATCCGAGCGTGTAAATTGGTGGCCAACAGATTGCGCGGGCAAATCGCTTATTGTAAACCGGCCTAAACTCCGCCGTCACTGAGATCAGTGCCTACTTCGAGTTTTCATGTAGCCTTCCTCGTAAGAGGGTCGTGTTTCCCTCCTAAAAACGACTTCGTGGGAGGCCAGGTCTCGGTGGAACCTCACTCAATTACTTGTATCTAAACTGTTTATAAAGTTCCTCTTTTTTAAAGGAAACGATAGAAGCAGTTCGTTTGTCTATAGAAATAATCTGCTGACCTAATTCCGTTGAGTAACTTAATACTTGCGAACTTTTTATTTGACAGTGGACGCCGAAAGCGTTCTGTATGGTTCTCGAGCGAACCAAGAAATTGACTTAGATGAACTGACGTTTAAGCTGGTGGTTAGATCTCCCTCGTACACCGTGACGCTTATGGCGCCTTCAGTGCAGGAAAAAGCTGCTTGGACTTCAGACATTAGTCAGGTACGAATATACAAAGGACATGAAGCAGCAGCTAACAGAAAATGTTACATCTGTACATCTTCGAACAGAAACAAGCAAAAATAGGTAAAGTGGAGTGGAGACGGCTATGTTTAGAATGGGTTACACTTGACAGTTACCAGAAAAACCTGCCTCGACTAGCGAAAACCTGGTTTTGCGTCTGCTATTTGTAGACGTCGGTTGAAAATTATTATTTTCGTGGAAAGGAATTAAGTATATTTCTCGGACGAAGTATTATAACCACTAATATTTTTCTTTCAGTGTATTGAGAATCTTGCAGTAATGTCAGAAGAAGATAACGTGTCTATAGCCTCGAGGCAAAGTTTGGCGAGTGTCAGGTTAGCTATTTCCTACCACTGAACTGGACTTGTTAACCATCCCAATGACTACAGTTTCCAAACAGCTATTCGCATTGTATGTTGAAAATATGACTTTGTTTTTATAGATTTTTGGATATAATTATGTAAGTAACCTTGATGCAAATCAAATTTCAAATACAATTCTAATTTCCTGACGTATGACGGGATTAGGCGGAAAGATCAAAGTCTTGTACCGTTTTTAAAAATTATAGCGAAACATTTTTCGTTGCCCGCTCGATATATTTTGGAGCTATTTTTTGTATATGTATGGCATTACTATTTTTCACTTTTAAAACTATTTTTTTCCATACAGGTTTATTTTAAATTAACCAAATACTGAAGAGGACTAACTATGTACTGTTAATCTTTACAACAGATCGGATCCAAAGCTTTTTGCCGACGATGCTGATATAAAATACTGCAAGGCTCTTAATTGCTGCAAACTTCCAAAGGTGTGTATTTCAGTATGTTTAATATCTTATTCAATGTCATTACAGTGAATTCTGATTATTTTCATGGATGGTGAAGTGTACTCTACTAACTAAATTGAGTAAGTGAGCAAAATACGTCTTTGTCCTTGTAAAATATGATTATCATAATTTTTGCCGTTCAACGTAAATTGCTATAGTTGAAGGTCACTTTTAATTATTTTCTCTAATGCTTAATACTTATACTTTATTATGTTTGTACGAGTTTTATTCATACGCCGAAAATAACATTGGTTAACGTTGGTGGCCTGTATTTTGTAGATCAGCCCTGTTTATCAACAGGTGACACAGCGGCTATATACCCAACATGTCACTTTCCACCGCTACTCAGAATGATTTTTCTGTGGCATCAGTCGAGGAGTGTCATGGTCGGTTTTAATTCTTCTTTTTGCATTGACACTCTATTTAGATTCGTCACGCAAGTTTAGAGCGGCTGTTGGAGCGCCTGCTGGATATTCGTTTCCTCAGTGTGGACTTCTTAAATACTTTTCTCATCACATATCGCGTGTTCACATCAGCTACGTCGCTTCTGGACACATTATTGCAGTTTTACTACGCCAATAATGCTAACGATTATGCCTGTGTAGACCTGGTCTCCCCAACCAGTCGCAAGACTCGCTCAGTATCGCTACCCGGCGCCGAGTCGCTCAATGCACAAAGAGCCCTGAAAGGTAATCATTTAATTGGCCATGTGTCTAAACGCGCAGGAACTGGTACGACAAGGATAGTTTGGAGGGACAGCAGCAAGCCACTTGTTAAAGTCCCTCTCAAGGTTACTCTGACTGAAGAAGAGACACATGGTGCATCAGGATTATTAGGAAATTTGTAATAGTGAATATTAGGTGCATTTCTGAAACCATTCTTGCAGTTTGGAACTGAACACAGCACTTCAAGTACGCCATGTTTGTTGACCTTCAATCTGTCCCTCGAAACGATCCCAAGAAACCCTGTGGCTGCCGGCATATCGTACCCATTATTCATTCGTTAACATGGCGAATTTTACTAGCATCGTGGATTCTAAATTTGGCTCTCACGGAAGTCCGCGAAGATCGCAACTCGGTCTAGCTAAAACCTATTTAAAAAAAGAAAAAGAAGCATCACCAAAAAATGTGGGAATCGCTGCTTTCATTATAGACACCGTTATTACATCGTATCGTATCCATTACTCTAATTATTATTCATTCAAAATAGTTCAGCGTTTCGGGATGGCTTTAGCTAATTCTTCATAACCAACTGGCGGTGACCAAATTTGGAAGATGCAGGCAATATACAATTGATACGATTGTATATTACCAATGTATCATCAAAACCTCGTTTCCAGGCAGCGGCGCGGCAGTCTAGCTTTTTTGGTGTGAATGCGAAACTCATAAACAAGTTTTCGCGGCTATCCAAAGAAAAAACGCTCGATGGATGTTATCTGCTTTTTGAAAAAAAATTCTGTTAGTATTCTAAAACTGTGCCGATGTAGAAGTAAGCTGTGGCCGAGGTGGATAACAGCCTGCCTGATCTGCATAATTCTTCTTATCATACTCAGCCTCATTCAGTAATTGTTGAATATGAACTCCTATTGGAATAATCCGCTGTCTTTTGTAGCGTTAATTTTAACACAAAGCTGGTGATTGTAATATGTTATCTAACGTGTATGAATACTTTCTTCTATTCCAGGTCGTAATAAGTTCTTCGGTGATCAGAATCAGCCCTCTGCGGCTTCCCAGTCAATTAGCATCACTGTATCTGACGTAAAAATGCCTTCAGACAATGATCACAGAGAAACCATTGCTGAGGAATCTACATCGCGCACTCCCGACCGACTATGCCCCAGTAACTACCAGTCGTACAGGCGGCATTCTTCACCCTCCGCTCTGGGCGAGTCAGCAGGTTTTGAGTTTCCAGACTCCTCCACTGATACACCTCTGTCACCAGGAGACGATTCTCCCACACCTATAAGACATGCGGGGCCTAGGAACCACAGCTCACCATTCTTGTCTCGAAGCAACTTTCGTTCCCGCGCGCAGAGCAGCTCATCTAATTTCGTGTCGGGAGGGTTTGATACTAAAGACAAATCAAACCTTTCTTTATTACAGGACGAGGACATTTTCAACGACTTGAAATTTGAACTTCAGGCGCCACCCAAACAGCGTGGCAAGCGATCCAGGGCATCTACTTCTTCAGGTGCACTCATATTGTCAATAGACTCCAACTCAGCCTCTAACTCTTCAATCCATACTGCATGCAGTACCTCTATAGGTGAACCCAACAAAGGAACACAAATGCGAACAGCAACACCTGTTGAAAACTGTGTTGTGGATTTTCAAGTCGATGAGGTATTTCATCAGAAGCCTAAGAATCATCGGCGGCGTTCAACTTCTAATGTTCAGCGTGAGCGTAGTCCTGATCGCCTTTCTTCTGCTGGTTGCCTCGGTATCATTGGAGACAATGACTTGCAGAGCCGTGAAGAAACACGCACCAAACATCCTTCAAGAAGGCCAAGTTCCCCTTGTCGGCTGTACAAAATTGTTAAAGATGCGGAAGAAAGAGTTTCATCCTTTAAATCTCAGCGCCGACCCAGCTCTCCCAAGTTGCCATCACCTGCGTCTCCTCTTAATTCACCCCGCTCTCCTCTCTCGCCATCTGCCAGCAGCGTCAGTGCTGGTGTTGTAGTGACGTCATCAAGACCTTCTCGACGCAGGTCCAGCATATCATCAGCAGCTTCAGCGTTTGCTGCTGCTACCGCTGGTGCGTCTCCGTCATACACGGCCACATCGCCCACTGCGACACGATTCCGCTTTGGTAAGTCCAGGATAACAACCCGACCGGTTTCATTTCTGTCACTCGCAATAGCTTAGGGAAACTTCCAGTTGATTGTTAGGAAAAGCTGGTTTTACGAGTTTCATGTAATGTGTGATTGAAGTTAAAAGAATGTTGAATGAATCACATGTAAGGGTCAGATAAGGAAGAAAGACTACTGAAGACACTGAAAGTGTACGGTAAGAGTGAAGAGGAAAACTGGTTCCCTTTATTCTATTCAGACTTTCCAAGATGTATGTTAATACGGTTATGCTTAATTTTGTCAAAATCTTTGTAGATATATTTCATACGGGATAACATTTCTCAATTAATTTGCAACACTGTTTTTTCCAGCTCATACCATCCGAGAACTGCTGTCTTCTAACTCGCACATGGCCACCATGAGGGTTCTGACAATTCTACGACACTGGGTCACTAAACACCCTGAAGTAAGTGTTGTCGTTATGGTGTTTGTTTAAAACTCTGCAGTTATTGACTATTTGTCTGTTTTTGGTTCTTACCCAGGATTTTGAAGCCGACCCGGCATTAAAAGAGCAATTAATATCCACTATGAATTACATTAATAGTAATGACAGCTCTACAAATCTTGAACAAAAATTTGCAATGGCAATTATAAGGTGAGTTGCATTTCAAAATTCGTTGTGCTTTAACTTTTTGCAAATTTATAAACCCATTCTCAGTACAGTAGTTTGTAAACTGGCAAGTGCTAACTAAATATAATGCCTGGGTAGACGCCGACAGAATATAAAATCCGGGTAGACTATTTGTCATTTTCCTGTACCTGTTTCTTTTCCTACAAATTTATTAAGTGATCTTTTTACAATATTCATTAGGATACTGGAGAGAAAGCAGGAGGAATTAGAGGCTGCTCTTTCTTTTGAGGCTACCTTCTTTTCAACGGTAGGCTGGCAACACTGATAACGATTGATAGGAACATCAGAAGTGCATTAACATAATGCTGCAGTGTTAGATTAAAGCTGTAGAATTTTCAAACTTCAGTACATCTTTAAAAAAATTAACGTTCTTTATTTTCATCAAACCAGGGAGAACCATTTTCTTCAACAAATCAATGAGCAAAGTAAGCCACTTGATGAAGTCCGGTTGATGTTATCTCTTTCAGTCGACATTAAAGAGTGAATCAAGCTGCCTTCATGTCAAGTCGTTTTCAGTATTCGATTTAAACTATTGTAGTCAAAAGAAAGTGAGATGTTAAAGGTGGACAGAGGAGGAATGTGACTTATAAATATATTCCTTTATACTCTAGCTTGCTTTAAGTTTGTAGTAGTTGAAGGAGGCTGACCGATGATTTTAATGGTAATGATAATGGAAATGATGATTGTCCAGAAACACAAGGACGCTAAAACAATACTCATCTATTGCGTGCCTCTTTTCATAGCTGCCTTTTTGTAGTTATATGCGTTTTTTTCTTTTTGCCTAAAGGGTGGAAGCCCTCGAGAAGTTGCCACGTTTGAAAAAGTACCCGCTACTCAACTTGCAGAACAGCTCACATTCCTGGAACACTTAATCTTTTCCAAGATTCCTGCACAGTAAGTAGATCATTTTGTTTTTATGGATGAGTTTAGAGGAATATTTCTTAACGTCGTAGGTTCTTCGTGGGATGCGGTCTAAGCCACCTCTGCTCTCTCAGCTGTAGATGTTGTAGTTTATTTTTACCCTTTATTTTTAATTTTTTTTCCCGCTAACCCTAATCCGGCCCTTATAGGGACAAAATTGGAACCACAACGTAGACACTTTCCATTTTTCTTTTACAGTTTTATCAAATTCTAATGCGCGTATTGTTTCTTTACTTCAGTGAATTTCTCAACCTTTCTTGGATGAAGCCGGATAAAAATGTTCGAGCACCTAACATTCTTCGTGTGACAAAACGGTTTAATGACGTAAGTCTACGCGTGTGCACATACGCAGCTATACATACATTCAGTTCCTAACTTTCCTTTTCAGAAGCAAGGTGGCGATGGCAGATGTAGTAATGGCGACGGTAGATATCGATGTGGCAGTTTTGTTTACGTCAACGACTAAAAATCGCATGGGCATTCAGAGATACGTTAGTTACCATGCTCTTAGGCAAAAAAAGGAAACATTCATAAATAATATTACTTCCTATTTTGTGGAGAAATTTTGTTTAGCAATTATAACTGTCGAATGTAAGAAGTTGTTGGCGAACCACTCTCTAGTCTAACGAGGCTCTTTATAACGTACATCCGATATCGAGTTTGTAACGGTAGTTGACGGTAACCATTCTTTCAAGTTCAATTGACCTCATTTGTAAGGTAACTCCGTACCGTATTTGGATCCCTTTTGCGCCTGTAATGAATTGAATTTATAACCTGGTTAAATGGTGAGACCGTAAGTTAGCGGCGTCGGGGTAAACTTGCAGATATCTCAAGTTTAAGACATCCTTCGAAGATGAAGAAAGTGAATCTGAATAAACTTAAGGGCAGAGAAGTGATGACAACAGGATTGTGCCTGCTCTGTTCACAGGAATTGTTATGTGATTCTCTTTTGGTTTGTTTTTTCTTTGCAGACAAGTTCGCTTGTAGCTTCAGAGATTCTTAAGCACCAGTCCCCTTCCACACGTGCCACTGTGGTTGAGAAATGGGCTGCGGTGGCGGAGGTTTGCCGCGATCTACACAATTTTAACTCTGTTTTAGAAATCATTTCTGCTTTCATGAGCAGTTCAATCTACAGGCTCAAGAAAACTTGGGAGAAGGTTTCCAAACAGGTATACCTGAATTGAAAATCAAATCACCCTACCTACTGCCTTACTGTTATTGTCATTTCGTTTTTTCGTTGATTGGTCTTCTTAAAATTTAACCAAATCTACTTCGCCAAAACCACAAATTTGTTAGGATTTCTTGTACGGGGTCTTTCCTGTAAATGTGATAAACAGTCGCCGTCACCTCTCGGTACGTCTCAACGAGTAATTTGTATTTAAACGGCTGCTTTGTAGACCTGGGCGCCTTCCAGTTCACTAGATACACTTATGCATGCGGGCCTGTAACAGTCTTTTACTAATTTTCTTTTGGTACAAGAAAAGTTAGAAAACCCGGCCAAATATTGGCTGGTGATGGATTAATGGCTAATTGCAGGTTTGACCCTTTCTATAATAAAAAGTGCAGGAGTTTGTTTGTAGATCTAACGAACTGCTGATGTTAGAGCAATGTTGTTTCTCGGCTCTTGATCCCACAGACGCGGACGATGATTGATAGGCTACAGAAGTTGGTTAGTTCTGAAGGTCGCTTTAAAAACATGAGGGAAGCCCTTAGATGGTAGGTTGTTATGCTTCAAGCGCATTGTTCTCAACATATCAATATCCTTGGTTACTCCTGCTACCAGTCAAACAAAGGTTTTTTCAGCAAGCCTTAATTAGTGATATTGGTTTGTCTTCTACTATGGCGACATTCAGCCTCAATTTGAAATCATTAGCAACGTCATTAGCCTCGTTAGAAAAATCTTCACAAATGGACAAATAACTCGATTGACTAATGGCACAAAGAAACGTCGCCAAATTTACAGGAAAATCAGTTTAGGTTGCTACCTCATGTAGCCACTCTCCAGCTGGTGTGCGCTCTCTTGAGCGATTTTTAAATATATCTGACGCTGCCTTGTTGATTACATGTTAAGTAACCCTTTTTTGTGATTATCTTGCTTTTCAGTGCGGACCCACCATGTATTCCTTATCTTGGGTTTTATTTGACGGATCTAGCATTCATTGAGGATGGCACCCCAAACTTCAATGAGAATGGACTCGTTAATTTCTCCAAAATGAGAATGGTGAGATTTGATAAGTGAATTTAGAATTTATAGCCATTTAAATCCTTTACCCTAATGCTTAAATTCACATAATGTTTGGTTGGTTTCAGATCGCCCAAGTCATTCAAGAAATCAAGCACTACCAACAAAACAAGTACACGATAGAACATGATAAAAAAGTAAGTTTTATTGTCTGTTCGTACCATGAATATCATGTCTTTATTCTCAGTGATAAAACCATGTGCCAATGACGGCGAAAAGAGCTCAATGTGTAGTTTCCTCGGGAATTTCCGTAATTTTTCAACTTGGTTGGGTACTCTCTGGAAAGAGTATTTTTGGCTCCAAAATGTTGTTGCACTATATTATTAAGCGAAAGATAATTTTTTTCTGCGATAAAATGAGAAAAAAAATCTTTTCATTCGTGTTAGTACGGTGTCTAATAATCTAAAGGGCGTTCTTAGCTAATAATTAACCACAGAGGCGATACCTTATACTACTGGCTACACGAATAATGTCATGTGCAAAAGAACCAGTTACATTCAAACTAAACACCACGTGAACTTTTATTACTTCATTTCAGTTAGAACATGTTACAAGAGGGCTTAGAATACGACTGAATTACGGTGAATCAAATGTGTAATAAAGCAACAGCTAGATAACCGAAGTTTACCGTGTTGCACGAAATTTTTGCGGGTCTTAATTTTCGCGATTTTTCCAACGATCCGCAAAAATTAATTACCGCAAATATTTTTCCCGCAAAAATCTACCCCAGAGTAAATAATATCTAACTCGCTACAAAAAAATACAGTGCTAAGAAACTGTTGTGTCTGCTCAACTACAACTTGTCTCTGACTTTCAGAAACAAAACGATTAAATGATGAGCAAAACTCCTGTCACTGGTTTTACATGCAAGGGTACCCACGCCGTAGTACTAGTATTAGTATTGTTTGAAAATATGTTATTATTTATTATTTCATTGCACGTACTCAGTGAATATTATCAATTCTTTGTCCGGGACTTTCTGAAAATCGCAAAAATTTATTCCCAGCAAGAAAAACCAATCTGTCCTAATCGCAAAAATTAGTTCCCGCAAGATACAAAAAATCGTCAATTCGCAAAATTAAACTCCCGCAAAAATTTCGTGCCACACGGTATTCATGAGCCGATGACAATTGTATTAGAGAAAACTTTAGCGTAAGCCATGAAAAAAGCATTTTAACCGACCGTAGATAAAAGATGATCAATGCAAACAACAATACTTGTTGTGAAACACCGGTAACAGTGAAATGACTGATAGCTTGCTTAACAGAGAAGCTGTTATTTATGAATAACTCACTACTCAGACCCTCTGGAAAAAAACTCTGTAAGCAACCCCCCACCCCCTCGGAATTTACCTCCTCTTGGACCCCCTCCCCTCGGAATATACATATACATATATACATGTTTTATTTGTATTTGGAGTCTTATACAATAAATAGTATATCAACTATTTCCGTTGCCCTCCGTAGCCGGCGTTGGGGGGGGGTGGGTATGGATACTTTCTAAAACTACCCAATAAGGTAAAGTATTCTGTCATGTTTCCTTTTTTTTTTCTTATTTCACTTATTTATTTATTTATTCATTTATATTTTAGATTATTCGATACTTGACGTCCAATGATAATTTGATGAGTGAAGACATGCTTTACCGAACTTCACTCGAACTGGAACCAAGAAAACGAGGATCCTCAAAAATTAAACATCAGGAGATCGGAAACTGATCAAGTCACGCTTTCTTATTGTTTTCTTGTTAATAAAGAAGTAAAAAGAAAACAAACAAACAAGCAAACAAAACAATGTAAATAGCAAATTGTGACATAGATAGCTTTCTATCATATTAGCTGTACAGCTGTAAAAACAAATTTTCATTCTCCACGGTTCTAGTCCCTGTCGTGAACAACTTTAAGCTTTTGAAACAGCTGTATAAATTATATTATATCGATCATAAGTGCTGTAAAAGGAAGCCAAACGTCATTTTGTTCCTCAATGTTGGCACTAAAAAACAGATCTTTAAAGAAGACTAACAATAAAGTTTGCGTGTCCAGATTTAGTTTACAATTAACTTAGATAAAGAGTCTGTAAAAAGACGGTGAACTATTGGAAATACTCATTACACCAAGCAGGTTTGATGTTCCCAATCAATCCCATGTTCAGTTTGCTTCATCATTTCTCTGTTTGTGATTGTCAATAGTTTTAATTGTTTCCTTACTCTTTAATTCTTGAAACAAAAGTTGAACGTTATCTCCTTGGCAATGATTTGGCAAACAAAGTTTCTGGGATTGAATTTTTCCCTTGGCCTGCGTGGCAGGCGTTTGAAAGGGAAGGGGAAGGGAATTTGAGCGCGAGACCTCGCGCGAGGGAGAAGGGAAGAGGGAAACACCGTCCCCCTCCATCCTTCCTCGCGCCCAAAATCCCGTTTCCTTTCCTTTCGAACGCCTGCCACGTAGGCTAATTTCCTCTTTGAAGGAATTTTCCTGGTTTGAGTTTTAGAATTTGTTATAGTCAATCATTTGGGCAGCCCAGGCTTCATCAGCCTTCTGGTCAGTTTCTTCTGGGTTCCCTTCCCAACTTACAATTCTTATATGTATTCTTGCATTGTAATTTACTTTGGCTAAATAAAACTGAACTGAACTGAATCGTCTACTTTGGAAGGTCGGCCATGAAGGGTGCGAAGAACTGTCCCTCTGGGCTTATACTTCAATAAATTTAACTTCTCTCATAATCGCTTAAGACAGACAGCCAAATAGTCTTAAAAATGACAGAGTGTGAAAAATATCTAAAATATATATCTTTATCTATGGACTTCCTTTGACTCGGATGATCTTTAAAATTGGTTCTCTAGAGTACTCTTCTCATTTTAACACCCGTTCATATACAGTGTAAGTTCCCTGAGAGAAAACTGATGTTATTGCCTGGATAGCTTACGAACTTTCAAGCTCGTAAGTTCTTCAGGTCTTTTCATTTTCACGTAGATAATGACCAAAAACGTCGTTTACGTTTGGAAAGGCCGGGAAAGTTTATGGAATGGTGACTGATAGACCTCTTCTAAGTTTCAAGTAGCAATTCAACTCAATCGGTGCCCTGAGTGGACGGGTCAGAGGTACTGTTGCGAGAAGGAGCACCAATTTATGCTAATCAGATCATCGCAATCCGTACAATAGTGGCCGGGCTGGTAAGACAGGACGAAGGAAGATCAAACTCATGATAAACCATTGAAAACTTCTTAAATGTACTGAAAAAATCTATATGACAACAAATTGAGGCTTACATACTTTAAAAACGAATGCACGCATAGTAGAAAATCAAAACTCTAATGAGCGCGCAGTTTTGTGACACCGTGACCATTACAAAAGTCTCTCTTTAAAAGCGCATCATACAATTTGGTCTCTCGGTCTCTATAGTCAGGTATAACGTTCCCTATATAGTCCTCCGCTATCCACTCCTCCGCCGTGTGATAAGAGTCCGAACTAGATCCAGAAGATAATTGTATTGTTTCCTCATCAGATTGTGAGCTGCACTCTAAACTTTCTTCCTTGCTTTCAGTGAATGCAACATTTCTTTGTGACCCCGAGTTTTGGAATTCGTAATTGTGAAAGCAGGTCCCAGTTAAACACTCACTGTCTGAAAAACTACTATTACTCTCTGCTGCCTGCTGATTTAACCAAGTCAACCAGCCCAGCTCTGACTTCTTCCTTGAATGCGACGTTTCCTGGTGTTCCTCACCAATACCAGTTTTTACGCCGTCAGAGTCTTGATCAAAGCAACCTAAAAACCCTTGTTCCTGCTGGCGAGGGTTGAATTTTCCACTGTTTTGAAACTTGGATTGGGACTTTAATGACCGTTGTGTTCTTGTTTTCCTGGTCCCTCTAGTCGCCTCTGAGCGTACTTCTTCTGAAACGTGTTTTTGTTGCTTTTTATCTAAGCTGTGACTCAGACACGGATTCCTGCTTAGTTTGGAGCCATTCGTGTCCACTCTATAAATAAAGTTAGCCTGAATGTACTTTAACATATCTGTGGGAAACACCAGAACCCAGCAAACCGCTCGCGTAGCAATAAGTGTAGATTTGTATATCACGTAAAATGAAAACGTCAGTAAAAGTGCAACAGGAACAATTACAGCTGCTGAAGAGATTAAGGAAATGAACGCCAATGTAAGAAGTCCGCACTGTACCAAGACCAGAGTGATTATAGCGAATGTGATAGATCCTAGAGTAAGCGTTACTAACACGAGAATGGGAAATAGGCTGGTGACAGCTATCGAACTGTAAATACTCCATTTCCATGGCTTTTTGGCAAACACTTCCAACAGGAACCAACAGGGTGGAGATAACACAACCTTGTGCCAAAGAATAACCAAACTAGACGCACCCATTTCTCTGTTTTCTTCTCTGTCATTCTGTATCTAGGTGAGTAGGATGGGGAAAATCGAACACTTCATACTTAAAAACAAAGTGAAAGTTAAAATTCTGTGATAATTGTGCGGTGATGTGTGAGTATGACGTTACAAAATGTTTTCTTCTCTGTCATTCTGTATCTAGGTGAGTAGGATGGGGAAAATCGAACACTTCATACTTAAAAACAAAGTGAAAGTTAAAATTCTGTGATAATTGTGCGGTGATGTGTGAGTATGACGTTACAAAATAATTTCAATTAGACTCTTCACTGTCGGCTCGCGCTGATGCCCCACCATGGAAAAATATGTTTTTATGGAGTCAGTTATAATTCAAATTCTCCGGAATTTATGGCCTTTTTGCATCAGAATTTTATTTCTTATCATATGACACCTACAGACCGGCGCGCAAGGCAATCATTTGACCTTTTTCACATCTTCTAAAATAATTGTTTAGAAAAACAAGTGTAAGCAACAAAGAGGCTGACTCATGGTCCCCGTTCGCTCCGTCTTGCCAAGCCAAGAAAACAAGAAGAAAAGTACCTCGCTCAACTGAAATCCATTTTTTTAATTATTATTATTTTTCAGCATGGTCTGACGTCACAAAAGGTGACCTGTATACTGTCTCCATGGCAACTAGCAGCTATGACGCTGTTACAGGTGCGTGATCTGATTTTCCAGCTGTTGTCACCGCAGCTCTTTGAACATTCGCTCCATTCATTCCACTCATGCCAAGAATCAGTTGTTCCAGAACTGCTTCCCTCCTGTCGTTCGTCGGAGTCGCTTTCCATTTCCTGTCCCTTTCCACCGCCTCCATTACCTCCTAACAAGACAACGAAAATTATGTTATCACTACTAAACAAAAGTAGACATTGTATAAATATTGGTAAGAGGGCATAGGGGTTTCGTAAAGGAGGCAGAACAGCAGTCTTCATATGTGTAATTTTTCCTCCATGGAAAGGTTGCCATTAACCCTAACCCTAACTCTACCAAACAAGTCTCTAGTACTTTTTAAATATTTTGGGCGCACTCCGTAGAATAGGGTCAAGCTATTTTGTATGTCGCCGTCAACTAATCACTCAATGCAAGCATCTAGTTCTGTTACCCTATAAGTTTTAGGATGAATTTTTTTTTGTCCACATTAAAGGTCCAGATTAAGGAACTTTACTTAATGCACGTTTTCCCTGTAGTCCATTTACATCTTCCTTATAAATTAAGTTTGGTTAACCTTAAAACTGGCCTTAAAATATTAAGTAATGAATAGTTTGTGTACTTTGTGTGCTCTAAACGTCTTTTATCAGAAGCTTTCAGAACTTGATTTTAATGTTCAATGAAATGTTTCCTTACTTTTAGCTGGCGGATAAATTCCTGTGATTTATATTGCGTATAGTGACTTAATTAAGCTTCTCTTTTTTATTTAAAATTCCTTGGTGACTAGGTTACAATTGGTCAGTTTATTTTACTCACAATTAACCTTGCTCAGTACCATTAGGTAAACCAAATACACCTCGTGGATTTCCCGCATAGATAGCGGGTTCTTCGATTTTTAAAGATCATTAACGACGACCTCCTTTTCACCAAGAAATTACTGCTTTAAATTCAAATCTCAGAGTTTGCATTATACATACCAATCAGAACACAAAGACAAAATACAAGCAAGTGCATGATCCACTCCGGGAAGAAGATAGTTAAGCTTTCCCTTGGATAGATAAGCACAACTTTTAGAGCGAAATAGGTGAAAAGGTATTGGTACCGCTTTTCAAGAGGACCCAGTTGTAAGGAATTGTCAAGAGAAGTATGCTATGCGATTTAGTTGGCATAAAGGATGTTTACTTAATATAAGCTCTCAGCTCGTAACGATTGGGTAATAAATGTCTGAAAAAAAAACACATCGGCTACCTAAGAATGACAAAAATTGCAACTAAGCGTTTACAGAAAAAATCTACTGTAAGTCAAGGTAGGCTAGGACAAGAATCTGTCGTCAATACCTGCCTTTGTTTTGTATGAATCGCTTCTAATATATAAACGAATATGTAAAACATTCCAAAGAAACGTTCATCGGAGTGTTGTTTCACTAAGAATGTCCCGTCAACATAGTGACGCGTTAGTCAAAACATTCTGTGGTTGGTATATAATTCGTCTGGCATTATTGTCCAATCCGTGGGTGCTGATCAATTAACCTTTGTCGCGGAATGGATATTATCAGGGAACAGTAGGATTTTTAACATTAGAGACCTGAAAATTTCCGTCAAAATAAGATTTTGAGACAAACAGGAAGATGTTACAAAAACTACTGATGGCATCAGTCAACAACGCTGCTGGATTTGTTGTAGGCTCCCACGCAGGCGTTGTGAGGTGAATCGTGTTTGTGGGGAGAGATTTTAAAATACATGAAACTCCCCTGAAAACTCCTGCATGGAAGCCGGCTATATTTGATGTGGCATCAGTTATTTAATACCTACCAATACATTCCTGAAACGAACATTTGACGTTTTGTAAAGGACTACCAATGCATTTTAGGCCATTGTTAGACGGAGGAGGCCTGGTGCAAGTTCTTCTCCTCGTTTTCGAACATCCTTTGTTGCAAGGGCCCCAGTTTCCCCATAAAGACCAACCACCGTCAACTACAAAGTAAATTAAGATTTCCAAGTGCTCCCTGGTAAGTCTAGATAACGTTAAGGGGGAGGGGGGGGGAGTGTTGGTGAAAAGCTGATGCCAATCGTTACCCGATCAACAATTTGGGCGTCTTACACAAGAAAACAAAAATTGTTCTTTTGATGAAACGATTGTACTTTTGCGTGCTCATGATGATTACATCATGAAGCCGGTGTCAATGATTACCTAACTGTAACCACCCTTTAGAGTGTTATTCATATATTAATGGGAAGCTGGGTGAAGGAGAGGAAATCAACAATAGACTGATAGCGGATGACTAAGATGCCTTTATATACTAAATTCCAGAATAATTATGAATTTCTTTTTGTTTACCTGGGCATGGAATATCCTTGTTGCATTTTTCGGTTTCCACGTGTTGACCAGAACAAGATTTTCCACCGTTGGACACGGGTGGGTTGGAGCAAGAACGAGATCTGGAGCGTGTTCCTTCAGCACATTTTGTTGTGCACTGACTCCAGGTATTCCACAATGACCAACCTCCGTCCACTGATTAACACAGATTAGAAAAACTGTTATCGTAAATTAAACGCGTGGTGCCTATCTTACTTTGCGTTCATTTACTGCCAATAACGCACTTAGCCTGCAGAAGACAAGCGACAGGCCATTTCCCAGTTCCAAAACTCTCACTTTCAAAACGAGGCTAAGTGCAAAACCTTTCTTGTGAAAATGAGTTTTGTTTGCATGAGAATAAAAAATTATTTTCATATCAATAGCTTCGCACTTAGCCTGTCTTTGAAACAGAGGCATGGGTCAGCTAGTAAATTTCCTACCTCAGATTACAAGGCACAAGAACAGCAGCAGGACAACTGACACACTGCGCCCTTAGCAAGCTAAGGCTATGTTCATAATAATAATCACCAGCTTTTCCCGTCTACATTTCAAAACCTCAGCCACGCAGGATCTTCAAAATATCAGCACAACAGACTTTTTGGTTTCAATTAAAACCATCATATTACTACTATCGAAAGTTAGGAATACTTTGACATCCGTTTTAATTACAGGTAGTATGGATTTGGCTTGATACAGCTAAACGAAATCTTCACTTCATGTCACTAAAGGAAACTTTTCAACGAGTCACAGTCACTTATTTTTGTTTGTAGTTCATTACCTGGACAGAATACATGTTTATTACAGTTCCGCGACATTTCTGTCAGACCCTCACACGGTTTGCCACCATAGGCCACAGGTGGGTTGGTGCAGGACCGATTACGCCTTTGAGTTCCTCCGCCGCAAGTAACACTGCATTTGCTCCAGTTTCCCCATGAAGTCCAACCTCCATCAACTAACAGCAACAAATTAGAAATAGTACAAAACATTATTGCTATGTACGTCGTTGATTCTAGGCTGTAGGGACGGGGGCGGGGCGGGGGGGGGGGGGGCAGGTTGGGGTGGGGATCGAATGGTGGAGGTTTTTTTTGCTCTGCTTGTTTATGGTAGTATTATTCATAAATTTTTTAAAAATGATGCTCCTCCGCCAGAAGCAAATATGAATTTTCTCGATGTACCCCATAAAAATCAACATCACACAACCAACAAAAAAAAAATAAAAAGAACTAAAAAAATTTATTTATAGGTCCGTGGATAATTCGAGGGGAGAGGGCGGGGGGGGGGGGGGGGGGGGGTGGGGCAGTTAGGGTTGGTGTTCAAATGATCGAAATTTTTTTTCATCTGATTATTTAAGCTAATCATATTCATTACTTTTATAAAACCTTCATTTCCACGTTTTTCAAGCAAGAACTGAGCTCTTTTAAGTTTCTATCGTTTTGCTTTTGTTTTTCAACTTCCTTTTACTGCCGTTGTTCGTGTGGCGTTCATCATCCTTTTAAAATCGCTTTTATTTATAAGAGTTATTGTCTGATTACCTGGACAAGGACTGGTGTTACATTTTCTGCTCTCGCTGTTCATACCAGGGCATTTACGTCCACCATTAGCTGGGAGTGGCATGTCACATGACCGCAGACGGGACTGGATTCCTTCTCCACAAGTTGTACTACAGCTTCCCCATAACCCCCAGCAACTCCACCCACCGTGGACTAGAAAAGTAAGTAGGGTAAGCTGGTATTTTGCACAAGGAAACGAATACTAGTTTAATACTCCATAATACTCAAGCTCAATTTACTAAAGTCTTTGACCTTATAGAGGACATGCGAGTTATTATGAAACTCATCGGTAAAAGCTTAACAATTGTCTTGGCTGTGCAGCGATCACCTTTACCAATTTCTTCTGAGACATAGCAGGAACACCCAACGTCAATTTTCGGAAAATATCTGTTCGGAAGACGATTTGAGATCTAGAATTTTCGGAACATTCATTGTAAAATTTCTTGCTTGCTTGCCTCTCCTAGGATTTTCGAACTTCTAAAAAATGGTATAATTGCCCATTTTTAACGGATTTTACCTTGGAAAGGTCACCTAGAATTTTCGGGAGCCTTTTTTCTGGCTGAAATTTTCGAAAAGGCAAATTTTGATCCCTATAATTTTCGGATCACTAGACTTTCAGCTAGGAAATCCGAACAGATGAACAATTTTTAGGGGATGAAAATATGCCTATATCTACCGTTTAAATACTAAAATACGTTTAACAATGCTATGTTTAAGTGGTTTTGAACTTTATCCTCGTTGGGTGCCCCTAACATAGGAATTAAAGACTAACCTTGTTCACAGCATTCTCCTCCGTACTGTGACGAGCATTTACATCTGGTTGGCTCTAAAATGCCTCCATTATAGCAATATCTGTTGCAATCACGAGACTGACTCAATCGAAACGGGCAAATGCCTCCGCAAATAGCAGGTTGGAGCAACTAGTGGCATGGAAGAACAAACTCCTGATCACTTTTGAAAATTTTGACTAGCACATGAAACGTCGTGTTTATGCAATGGCCCAAGAACCAAAGTCTTCATGTAATAAAGGTGTTTCCTAATTTCCCGGGGAAGTGAAAAATAAGGAGGGTGGGTGCGGGACCTAAACAGTATAGTAAAAGGGATGGGGGAATTAGATAGACAGTATAATGATCAGTTGAGTTGGAAAGTTTGAGGTGCCTTAAATATCGATTGCTAGAATGCCCTCTCTCCACTGCTGCTTTCAAAACAGTCTATATAGCTTAAGTGCCCATCCCTGCGAGAACATTTCCAGTACTTCCCTTGAATTAAACAACAAAATAAAGCTGTGGTCCACATTGTGCTTGAGTAGCACACTGATACGCGGTACGCCGTTTTAGTTTAAAAATTAAAGTCAATGGGCCAAATATTTAAACGTAGTTTAGCCAGTGTTTAACAAAACCGCGTTCTAAGTCATTTTCAATTTGCCCAACGATCTTATCTAAACATCATTTATTGTGAACAGTTTTATGAAAGCATATAGAGAAGACTAGGAAAGCATTTATCTTGTTAAACAACTCACCAAAGAAGAGATCTGGCGGTTCAAAGATTTGTTAAACCGCGGCTTAAGTTAGTCTTCGTTTAAATATTTGGCCCAATAAAGGTTTTAGCAGCGGCGTAGCCTGCGTGGCAGGCAGGTGCCGGTAAGTTATTATTATTATTATTACTATTATTAGAGGCAGGCCACGGGTTTTCAGGGCCAAGGCGGAAATCTCGAGGAAGCGGGAGGGAGAAAAGGAGAGGAAAAAGTAAATACGCTGGTTAAGTTAAGTAAGGTTAAGCTGAGTTGGTAGAACGAGCGCTTGACTGCAATGCGGGATTCATGTCGCCGCTCCAATCCCTGTAGCTGGACTAATACTCGGGATCTTAAAATCATTAAGGAATGAGGGTACTGCCTTCACCGTTACTGCAAACGGCTAAACCGAAATATAGAGTCCTCAATTAGTACTTTCGTACTAAATACATCGACTCTCAAACAACGTGCGTTCTTCAGAGTGTTATTTGCTTGGAAAGGATCGAAGTCTTGGTTGGTATTCGGATAGTGAAAATGCTGAACAGTAATGGTAGTCTGTCATCAAAATGTTGCAGACCACAGTTTCTAAAGTTGCTTCATTTGAATTAAACTCACCTTTCTTGTGCGCTTTTGCCATCCACGATTTCCACACGCAATTGAACATTGACTCCACCTACTCCACGCACCAACTCGGCAGTTTTGTGCCTTGCGGGAGCCCCTATCATCATCATCATGATCGTAGTCGTCGTCATAACTTCTACACTGACTTGGCTTGGTTGGTTCTGGTTTTGGAGTCTTACGTTTTCGGTATTTGCGGCGATGACGGGATTCAACGCTAGAAAAAGCCAGCAGAATGAATAAAACAACCAAAACTAAAAACGGGCGCATTGGTGGCTAGAAAGGCAACATTCACATTTGAGAATCAAATCACACTGAGATAGCGGCGGTATCTAGGCTGCCCTGATCGTTGCACGATTTAGGGCTTACAGCCAAGTGTACATGACTTTTGATTCAGACTGAAGCATTTGTTAACCGATGAAAATGGTAAGAATATTGTTCTTAGGGGATTTGCGGAGAGCTATACACTGAACTTTGGCCAAACTATAGACAGCACACAGGAGCGAAGAAAGGTATTAACGACACAAAATTGTACTGAATAAACCTCTCGAGTGTTCATTCAAACAAAGTAGGCAATTTTGACAATGAGTGATATTTGATTTGCATGAGAAAAGCGTTTGTCATGACTTGATCAGTGCGTTTTATTTGCGGGGCGGGTGGAACAGGTCAGAAATAAACAGAGTGACGAACAATTTCCTTTTTCAAATTATTTCAAGTAAAGCACATGAGTACACCTAAACACGGATGTATACGCTTTTTCAATAAGAAGAAGCAGCTGGATTCTACAAACATCTGAAGCTTTAAGCTATGCGAATAGTTCGGATTCACAATGGTTTCAATAACGTGCTTCTGAAAGTGTAAACTCTACAAGAGCCTCGCAATCAATAAAATTCATTCACTGTAAATAAAAGAAAGAAGAATAGACTAGTAATATTAAAGAGGTTAACCATCACGTTGACGTCAAACACCCGGCAAACGCGAATTTGAACCTTGTGACCAAGTTTCCTCTTTGTTTGTCGCCTAGCAACTGTTCATTATTTCTACGCATCATCATCATCAAGTGCCATCTACTAGTAGTAGGTCGGCTATCATGGATCTCCAGCTGCTCCGGTTTTCCGCTCTTCTAGGTGTGTCCTAACAATTCTTTGAATTGATGTTTTTCATCCTGGTAACTCTTGGTCTCCCCCGTCCTCTCTTCCCTTCAATTTTGCCTTCCAGTTACAATTTATGGATCGACCTCATTCTTATTACGTGTCCAAAATACTGGCATTTTCTTTTCTTTATTGTTGGTAATAAGGACCTTCTTGTCTTTGCTGTCTTTAAAACTTCTTCATTGGTTTTATGTTCCGTCCATGATACTCTTAACATTCTTCTATACGCCCACATCTCAAAAGACTCTAATCTACTTTCCATGGTAAATAAATTACATAAATTAGTAGTTTTACCCAATTTTTTATCCATAAGAATTTTCTGAGCTGTTTTTATCTGCTCATTTTCTATTTTGAGAAATTCTCAACTAGAACTGACGTTTGCCGTATCATCATCAAGTCTCATCGCGCCAGTAGGCACCGTGATAAGGCCACCAACACTTTCTGTCTTGTGCAACCGCTTTGAATACTTCCCAGCTCTGTAACAGTTAGTGTTTTTATGTGGTAGGGTCGTTACTCGCCATACGCCCAACAACCAACCTGGAGGACTCCCCAGGAGGTCACTAACTACCTGGTCAGCTTTATCCGTCGACTTTTTCGGCATGGGTGGCCCCACCAAGAGTACAATACTCCAGTCCACATAGCTTTAGGGGTCATTGAGACAAGTATACGTGAAGCTTTAACTCTCTGTTAGTAGTTCATGTGTGCAGTAGGTATACACTCTTTTTTTACGGGAGTATATTTCATTAAAATATTGAGGCTTAAATTTGCGAAACTTTAAGAATAATCCCCAGGCTAAGATTCTGAAAAGGATATAAAAGTTGTGTCTTAAAAATCTGTAAATACAATATAATAATATGTTTTTAACTTATTCTTTTCTCTAAACGGCAAAACTAGCCAACAAACCGAACAAAACTTGCACTAATTATAATTGATACCCCAATATACACTTAAATGTAGATGTCACAAGCTTTCTGTATTATTCTTAAAAGAATAATACAAGAATATTTTCAGCCTAAAATCGGCAGAAAAATAAGAATATTCAGCCTGGGACGGAAAAACAACATTCTAAAAAAAAAGAGTGTAACCATACGGGCACATTTGAATTCAGGGGGCAGGGTTTTCCCAGGAGACAAAGCAAAGCAATATTGTTTTTCTTTAGTGTTATTATAGGCAACTATTTCTACACAGACAGATTCTATGTGGGGCTTCAGATTCAAGGTTATTATATCGGACCTCGGGATTGATTTTACGAGAGGCAGGGGTCAGAAAATCAGCTTGTTTTGGGTTAACTGTTGTTCCATTTGAACGGGTATTAAATTTAGCAAAAACATAGAGGTGATTTACCAGAAATAGAATTTGAGACATTCAGGAAGTTGTAAAAAATTAAGTAAAAACGACAACACACTTTTTATCGAATTACCGTAGAATCCCAATGACAAAGTTGAAAGGCACGACTACAAAAGTGAATCGTCTGAGAAAAAGCAAAACCCATACGGTAACAAGACTTTTTACTTTGCATCAAATACAGAGAATAGGTTTCTTTGAAACACTAACAGAATATGCTGACTTTCATAGGTAGTTTATACATATTTTATGTTCAGTATAACGAAGTGATGTCTGGAAAACAGTGACTTATTTGACATTTCTGTAAAAAATGTTTAAATAATCAATGACGCTTCTAGAAAAAAAAAAACACTATAATTAAAAATTTTACAAGTTGGTATAAGTTTACAAAAAGGATGTAAGTGATGAAATGATCTGTTAGAGTGATTTTACTTGAACCGTGAAACAGGTAATAGCAACTAGTGCAAAATAGCTACAAATAAACAACAGAAGACGATAGGATTAGTGCATTATACTGCGAGTAGTATTCTACTACCTATTTCACGATTACTCTAACCGAATTGTATACATATTATTTTGACACTAAGAATAGTTTATAACGTTAAAAAGTTTCATATTTATTTCCAGAACAAAGGAATTCAATAAAAGGGGTACGGTAGCAGCCACTTAAGCCATTGGCTAATTCTTTGAATTTTTAAAGTCTTTGATTCACTGATAATAAGATAAGCTAAAGAGTATTCCGAGGAAACTAGCCTGGCTATGTGCTACAATATACACTTAATGTCAGATCGCGAGGGAAACAGTTAGTTTTGGTTTCAACAGTTAGTTTTGTTTTTTTTGTTCTATAGTATTCTACTACCTATTTCACGATTACTCTAACCGAATTGTATACATATTATTTTGACACTAAGAATAGTTTATAACGTTAAAAAGTTTCATATTTATTTCCAGAATAAAGGAATTCAATAAAAGGGGTACGGTAGCAGCCACTTAAGCCATTGGCTAATTCTTTGAATTTTTAAAGTCTTTGATTCACTGATAATAAGATAAGCTAAACAGTATTCCGAGGAAACTAGCCTGGCTATGTGCTACAATATACACTTAATGTCAGATCGCGAGGGAAACAGTTAGTTTTGGTTTCAACAGTTAGTTTTGTTTTTTTTGTTCTCGACTTCGTCTTGGGAAACATCAGGACTCGAGGGAAAACAAAACTAACTGGTTTCCCGAGGGACCTGACATTAAGTGTTTTGTTATATTTCTAGACTTTCACTTCAACAGCAACAAAAGATTAACCGAAATGAACCAGAACAGTCGACTTAGTACTTAAAAAAACACAAATTTAGTTCTCAAAACCACTGAATAAATGATTTACAAAGTACTTTCCTTATATTATGTGTATCTTTTTTCTCCACAAGCTGCTGTTTCTCTTCTGGGATAGATTTAAAAATTGTTGCTTTTTATCTTGAGGCTTCCTGTTTGTGTTGTTGTGTTAATTCACGCAAAAGAAAACTGGCAGTGTTTTTCCTGCCTTCTGTCACCTCACTCTGCACCGTGCTTTGATCACTTGCTGTAATGTATCCCCAGTGGGGTACATTGTTAATGTATGGGGATATTAGTCAAGGCCACGTGACCAAGAATCAACCAATGGCAGTCCCTGTTTAGTTGAGTAAAAGTCTAGGAATATAGCAATAGATCTTATTGGGGGCCAGCGATTATATTAACATTAGCAGGGCTGTCAACCCCAAACATCTTTCACTTGTGCAAATATTCTTACTTCCCACCAATCACATGTCATTATTATCAAGTTAAAATGGCAGTACAGGAGTTGACAAGGAAATGTTTGATGTTAACATTAAAATAGCTAAGACAAAGCAGAATAGTTGAAATTTTTTAAACTGTCAAAAAGTTGTGTCTACTGAAATGAAGAAATGGCAAACTTCGAAGATTATCCAGGAGATTTCAAACTCTAATCTGGAGACCGGGAGATATGGTCCAAAATCTGGTCTTGCCAGATTATCCAGGAGAGTTGACAGCACTGCATTAGTTTGAGACCACATGATCGGCACTTAAGTCTTGTATCAACTAAGGTATTCTTGGGAGGTCCGAAACTGGTGATGCACCTGACACTTCTACGTATTTTCTTAATATTTTTTGTTGTTTCGGGTGGAAGAAAGGTCGGGCTTGACAAAATGAAACTGTACAAAAAATCATTTATCTGAAGTTTATGTGCACCACTCAACTTTTCAACTTGACCAATGGAATGGTTTTGGTTGCTATACAGTTATCACAGACCCACTCGGCATTCTCCTCAGCAGTAAGTAGGTCATAAGCCAGTTCTGTCAGCCCGGTACATACACGGTGATACCACTGTGAACAGCCTGTTTCACAGAATATAGCATCATCATTGTCATTTACTTCTCTCTTGCAGATACCACAGGGGTACACTGGGTCTATAGTGAGGTTAGATCGGTTCATATCTGTAGTTCCCTAAAAAGGACAAGTGGAAAGGTTTATGGAAAAAATGAAAAATCTCAGTTGTACACCTTAACAGTTGTGTAAAGAAAGCCTAAAAAAGTTCAGGCTTGTATGGGATTTGAAAACATGACCTCTTTGATACAGGTGCAGTGTCCTTAAGCCAATTGAGCCATGCAAGTCGACATACAGCTGGTCATTTCATTGAATGGTTTGTTGTATTCATTATCTAGTACAATTTGTGATCATTGAGAAGTGAGAAACTCTACAAATCACAGCTCACCCAGCATAAAAGCTGTCTGCTCCACAGAGTACAATCAATTAATGAAACAAGGTTGGCTTGGGTTGGCAATGTCATACTGTATTTTGTCAACCCAAGCCTCAAGGTGGTGCCTTCCTTGACATAAAGTGGTATGTATCATAGGAATGCCTGAAAGGCCTATTCTTGGCTGAATTGTAACAAAAATATGTTAAAGCCAATAATGCAATGGGTAAACTCCCCAGAAAATGGTAAAGGTCCACAACACTTGTTTATTCTGTAAATACAAAAGCTTTATAAAAAAATGCTGAATTTTGCCTAACGTAGTTAATACTGAACATTACTGCTGTTCTTTTAACTACAAAGTTCCAAAGAAAAACGGATGTTCATTTATTCCCAGAACCGGTAATATAATATTCATTATAGTATGAGTATGACTGTACCTCCATTGAACGTGAATGTATTGTGGGTTCAGCTGTGACATAGGGAGGCACTCCGAAATGTTGTTGTGGTGGGGCAGTTACTGGGCTGGCAAGATCCGATGAACCAGAACTCTCTTTTCGCTGCTTTTTTTGTGGACTATCAGGATTTGAACCACTACTGTCACCTTCAGTTTCTATTTCATCTGGATTTGCCCCATCTAGAAAGTAATATTTGGCAGAAGTTTATTTACAGTTTACAATTATGTAAATTAAAGCAAATTTCCAGGGACTATATGTTGAGTAAATTTGCATTCAAAATCAATGTATGCTGCCTGATGTCAAACTTCATAAGTGAGCAAAACCCACATAAGAAAGGTGTAATAAAAACATTATTGAGATGTCAGATTACATTTGAAACCTCATTTTTATTAATGATTTAAATAATTTTGAAATCCTACAACAGGTTCTCATCCAACTTCCTCAAAATAAGCAAATTCACTGCATAAAATGCTGGTTTTTGGCCAAGAAAAAGAAACTTAATGCTGCAAGTGAGGTGTGATTAAAGAACTGCAAGAATTTTTTGTACAATGTATGGTTTCAAAATAATTATACCATATTAATATAGTTGCCTCAGTCCAGTGATGATGGGAATGTCAAAAGCGGTTCCATGGTTGAGCTTGAGCTTGAGGTTGAGCTTATTACAGGCCAATATCTATACTACCAGTACTGTCTAAGATCTTGGAAAGGATTGTATATAAACAGTTGTTGTCACACCTCGAGAATAATGGTTTTCTGTCATCTTTCCAGTTCGGATTCCGATCTAAACGTTCTACTGAACTAGCAGTTACATATTTTACGGACAAAATCAGGAAAGAAGTTGACAATGGAAACATCCTGGGTGCTGTTTTTATCGATCTATCAAAAGCATTTGACACTGTTAGTCATTCGTGCTTTCTTAACAAGTTGCCGTCTTATTGAATTAACAATAAGGAGTTTCATTGGTTTACTGATTATTTGTTTTCTCGAACGCAATCAGTCCAATTCAAAGGTGCTTTGTCAGATGCCAATCCCATATTTTCTGGAGTTCCACAGGGAAGTATATTGGGTCCGCTATTGTTTACTATCCATTTTAATGATGTGCATACGCCTCTTCAGTCAACCTCAATCATCACTTATGCGGATGATACAGTAATTTTCACGGCTGCTAAAGATCTGGAATCCATTCAAAGGCATCTCAGTGAAGATTGTCACAACCTGTCTTCTTGGTTTCGTGATAATGAGCTTGTCCTTAATCTAAAAAAGGGCAAAACTGAGTGTATGATCTTTGGTACTGCCAAAAGGCTTAATGCAATGAATGGAAGACAACTAGCCTTGACCGTAAATGGAACACTGATTAATACCACATCATCCTATAAATACTTGGGGGTAAACTTGGATTCATCCTTAAATCTCGAATCACATTTTGACAAAATGTATAAAAGAGCAGCTGGAAGATTTAATTTACTCAGGAGAATCTGACCTTTAATCGACAAGAGCAGTGCTGAGAAAATCTACAAAGCAATGATTCAACCTGTTTTTACGTACTGTGGAACTTTGGGTCTCTGTTGGTCACGTTCCCGTAAGAGTCGAATTGAAAGCATTGAACGTCGAAGTCAGAAAGTCATTGGTGGAAATTATCAAGTCCAGACAGTGGAGAGTTTAATAAAGAGGCAGTCCTGCCAGCTTGTGTTTGATTGTCTTTAGGATAACGTCTGTACCCCTTTTAAAGGATATTTTACAAAAATTGAACACAACATTAACACTAGAAACAATGGGTGTTCACTAAAACTTCCCAAAGCCAAATTAGAATTTGGACGGAGAAGTTTTGCCTTTCAAGGGGCTCTAGTTTATAATACTTTACCTTGGAATTTAAGAACTTTAAATTCTAGGTTTCTTTTTAAGAGTAATTTAAAACAATTTTTTCAATAGTATTCCATAATTCATAACTCTTTTCAGTCTTGTAAGTCGATGATTTTTACAGATTTTGATTTTTAAATCTTAGATTTCTTAGTGTTATTTTATTTTCCTTTTTCGATTTTTATTTTTTTATTTTTTTAGCTATTTATGACATAATTACAGCACCCTTTTGATAACAGTTCTTTTTATTAGAACTGATAGGTTATCCTGTATAAATATTCACGTTATTATCTCTGATGTAGATCAGAGACTCCAAACTGAAGACTACAAAAAAGTGGTTCTGCCAGGTGCATGTGGTTTTAAGTGGTTTAGTGCAGAACACAAAAAATTAGGTAAGTTTTCTAGGAATGATCAGAAGTGAAATAAAAATAAAGTGGGAGTTTCGAGTTATCGAGGGTTTGAGTTACCAAGGGTAAAATTACAATAAATGTATAAAGAAAATTTCAGGGGAAATTGACTATCGTTCGAGTTAACGTGAGGTTCGGGTTAGCGAGGGTTTGAGTTACTGGGAGTCAACTGTAGTATGAGATCAATGCTGCATACAGTTAATAGATGTAAGGGGCTGTGCAGAAATCATACCAATAACTATTGTGCATTCTTGATTGATGGTTTTCACAGTGGCGTCATCAAATTGCAAAGTCAAAATAGCAACGTTTTATGAATTCTTATTTACACTAGGTTGAAGATAAATAAAAAATAAATCTTTGTACCAGTTTCCAGCCCGAAGCATGTTTCATTTCAAAAATACAGCAATTTGAACTTCCCTGTTTTCACAGTGCGTGACACCAAAATAGGAATGCTGTCTCCTTGAAAAAAGTCTCTCCTCTTGATTTTCAGCAGCTTAACCATTTCACACATATGCCAGCTCTTGAATGAAAAGAAAGAGCTTTCATAGAAAAAGTGAACTCCAGATGTCTAAATGTTGATTTCCGGTGGCCATATTGGTGGATCAAAACGGTCCACCAATATGTTGTTTCCATACAAAGCTCTTCAAAGGTGCATGAAAACGTTTCGGCAAATAACTCAGAACCTGTGGGCCACAAATACCTGAAACTTGGACAAATTGTTTATACTTTTCATAACATTTCATTTTCTTGGCTCCTTCCACTGGACGGTTTCTAATTTATTTTTTTGTGCCTTGTTTATTGCATGACAGTGAAAACGAAGAATAACTCAAAGGAAATGTACGTAAAGCCCATAAAACCCCTAAAATACTATCTCTATAGCATGCTATCTAAATAAAGGCAATCTGTTCCAGATGCACACTGCCAATTAACAACGACAAAAACTAAAGTGAAACTCTAGCCTTAAAAAAACAAAATTAAATGAATCACATAATGGCTGCGGTCACATCTGGGCTACTAACTATAGTTAAGACGGGGATAACTATAGTTAGCTATTTCGGTAATGTGACCGCTTCTCTGTTCGTTCTAATCATAGTTAGAAAATTTACGCATCGGTGATCCAAAACAATACGGACCAACTATAGTTATACCCAAGCAGAGTTCGTGGGTTAGTCTTAAGTTTACAAACAAAAAACCAATCAGAAGGTGGCACTTCTTTTCGTACATGCGAGATGAGCATATATAAATATACAAAATAAAAACCAAGCGTGAAGCGAGGGGGAAACCAAAAACAACCACCACAAAATTTACATAGGCTAATTAGAACTAACTGTTGTTAACTGCGTCGTGTGACCGCAATGTCGACCGAAAACACTAACTACAGTTAGGTATGACATAACGTAACTTGACATTAACTTAAGTTAAACTTTAGTTACGTCGTAGATGTGACCGCAGCCAATAATATTACATCTAAAAATGGATAGTGCTACAGGAGCATGTAAAGCTCTCATATCTGAAAGTGTTCACTGTTTCATCGTTTCACTAACTGTTGCATTTAAGCGTATGTGTACTAGTCTGTACAGAGTGATCACAGCTACCCTGAAAAATCGCCATGCATTCACCACTGTAGAGCAGTTTGTTAGACCTTTCAATAGACTCATATTCAGCTTAACTACTTGCGAAGACATTTTGAACGTTATTAAGATAAAACTATCTCAAAAAATACACATGTAAATTATAAACAACGTATTCTAAATAACAACAAACCAACCTCTAAATCTTGCAGGAACTTTTCTTTGTCTGGGCATCCCTTTCAACTACATGTATTTTTAAAAAAAGACGCGGTAAGGCTGAAGTGGCGTCTTGTTTATGCTAAACGAAGTGATGGGTCATTTCTGCTTACACGACATACAATGGACCAAGAGATACACTGCTGACCCAATTAGGACAGGCTCTGATCATTTTTCAAGATGGTGGACGAACAGCGAAAAAAGTTATCATTTTCTAATTATTGGCAACAGCAGCAGGTACCAATTCTTCCTGTCTGTTCAGTGTTTTATTCTTAGCTTTCTTACCATTAATTCCGAGATTAATAATTACAATAATATTTAATTGGTAAGATTTACAAAATCTGAAAAAGTGAAATGTTCAACCGCACTTACACTTTTGCATCGACCGCCAGGTAATATTGAGGCTTTACGACAGTGTCTTGAGCAAGATACCACCGGGGTCCATTCTAAATGCCAAGAGTGCACAAGTAAGCGCCCGTTAACCATTAATATATATATGTGGTACCCTTGAAGTATTAGGTTAATATCATATGTACAATGTATGACCAACCAGTAGGTTGATAGAGCCACTATTTAAGCAAAAATAGAAAAACTCAGTACGATAATTATGAGGATTATTAATAGAAAAACGTTTCCGTGTTTACATAGCATCATATATACGAACACTCGAGGGGTTAGCAGAATTCGAGACAGTTATCACGAGTTATGCAAACCTGAGACGAAGTCAAGGGTTTATATAACTGTCAAGAATACTCCCATTACTTTTATAAAGTAACTTTCCCGAGAAAAAAGCAAAACTCTTTATTTATGGCACCAATTAAAAGAGAAATTCTTACCAATCACGAAGTCTTGTACATAGGTTTTGTCCACGTAATTAGTTCTTGTTTTGCAAAAAGATGCTTTCCAAAATATGGATTTTTCTCGCTTAAAATGTCAGTGCAAGCACAGAAATTTGACACAGCATATTTGCAAAGATTTTCCAAGTATTAGCCAACGAGGAAATGGCTTAAAGTAAACTTGTTGAGTTTTCAACTCGAAACACTTTTTCAAATTTGTGATTAGTGCACACACAGCAAAACATCTTGACGTTTACATACCCTCATGCAAACATGCCTCTCAGCCAATCAGAGCACACATACCATCTTAGTTATTTTACAAAATAATATAAATGATAATGAATATAGTGTCAGGGTATTTAGCAAGTGTTAAAAGTGATTGGAGCATTGGAGTAGAAGTACACTGAAAAAAGGGCTTACAATTTGACTCAGAAGATGGTCCAAGGAAATGAGAGAGAGAGAAGTGAAAGTATCTTGTAAGCATTTAAAAATGCTTGCAAGAAATTTGATTGATCTGTTAATTAGATTTGGACAGTATGAACAAGAACAAAAAGGAAATAAAAAAATATGTTTATCAAATTAAATTTTGTTTAACACTTAAGAATAAAGATAAGTGAGAACAGTTTATCACAGCATTTCAATGTTGCCATAACATATCATTATCAAGTGACAAAGATAAAAACTGAATATATACGGTTTAAGGTGACAAAATATGCAACAGAACCAAAAGTAACATGTTTGCATGAAAATATGTTAAACAAACAGAAAAACTATGTTGTCTTGAATATTCTCACATTGGAATGTCAAGCAAACAGAATGCTATCATTTATTGGAGTCAAAATCTTTCGCACTGTGGCATTTATAACCCTGAAATTGGCCCTGAAAGTCTGCAATGTACAGTTTTGGGCGGCAAAATCTCTGACTAACTTTGTCAAAAGATGCTACCAATAGTTTATGAGAATGCCTGGACAAGATTAGTCCCACACCTTAACGTGTTACTA